AAATTAAATGGTTTTCACCATTTGAAAAAATATAAAGTGAAGTTCGTTTTATGAATTTTACCATACTATAATAAGAAACCGAGTGTGTGATAAATATCATCATCTCCAAGCGAGCTCAAAGGAAATTAATTCCAAACGGCTTCCACTATACGGCTTCCTTTTGTATACAATTATTCTATTCGCATGTAGCTTAAAAAGGCCTTGACTGTGGAGAGAAAAAAAAAATAACAACGCTGCGACATATAAATCGTGCAGTGCAGATTTTTACAACATGTTGACATGCTATTCGCCGAAAACCCAAAAACTGCTTTTCATCGATGGAAATGAACACGTTGCAGAATTTTATAGTACGGGAATGACCATTTTACGTCATTTTTCAGAAGGTTAGACATTTTTTACTTTTGCTTTATAGTATTTTAAAAACTAATGGCTCTATCGACTTGATTATTATTATTATTATTTTCATAAATAGAATTCAAGTATACATAACTGCTTATTGATTTCGACCTTAAACAAGCAGTTTATGTTGATGATTAAACCATATCAACTTCCTGTGAAGTCAATGACGCGATTTGTTAAGTCACGCCATAACTTAGAAACTAAATTTTGGTTATTACCTTAAGTTATAACACGTCTGTTCATCTGTTAAGAAAGTTTTTCCAAGTGTCAGGTCTGTAAAGTTAGAAACTTTAAACTTGTTGGACCTTGATGGGTCTCCTGTCATCTATGGGATCAGAAGAAAATGTGTTTGCCTTTACATATGTCAGCATTGATATCTTTGGACCGATGAATGTTTCTATAGGCCGCAAAGCACTAAAATGCTACGGTTATTGCACCTTTAGAAGCTAGTTCAATCATTATAATTGTTGATGATGAGTTGTGCGAGGGATGTATTTGGGGAATACCGTTCAAGTCACACAAGAGTAGGCCAAGTAAAATAGGTGAAATATTTCATGCAGATGTCTGTGGGCCTATGCAGCAAACTTCACTTGGAGGTGCTAATTATTATGTTTGCTCTAAAGATGATTAAGTCCAAAACTGAAGTATCCGATTGCTTAGAAAAATTCTTAGAAGAATCTCAAGTAGTAAGCGTCACGATACAAGAATTTTTAAACGGTGGTGAAAAGGAGTTCGATAATGCTGAAGTTCGAACCATTCTACAAAATAAAGGAATACATTTTAGAATAACCATGACCATGTCCACAACAAAATGGGCTAGCTGAAAGAGAAAATAGGACACTTGTAGAAAGTGCAAGGTCTATGATACACTCCAAGAATTTAGCTTTATATTTGTGGGCCGAAGCAATTAATACAGCTGTCTACGTTCTAAATAGAATTGGTGCAACTCCTATACCAGAAAAATCGCCGTTAGCTTTGTGGCTGAACAAAGAAGTAACGTCTATTGATCATTTTAGAATTTTTGGAACTAGCTATTACGCTCATGTTCCAAAACAGAAGAGACGTAAGTTAGACAAAAAGAGTTTACCTGTCTTCTTTGTTGGATACTGTGTCGAAAGAGATGGATACAGAATGAAAAGAAAGTCATTGGAAGTAGAGTATGTAAATTAAAACGTAGCTTATATGGACTGAAACAAGCCCCCAGATGTTGGAATCAGCGTTTTGTAAAATTTCTCCAACAAACAAATTTAAAAGCGAGTGCAGCTGATCCGTGCTTATTTGTACGTAAGAAAATAATAAGAAATTATTGGTTGCAATCTACGTGGATGAAAGTCTTGTTGCAAGTAGTGAAGAAGATATTACTAGATCATTTATTCAAGACCTTAAGAATAATTTTAAGTTTTCAATTGGCTCCCTAGATAGTTATTTAAGTTTGCAAATTACACAAGCTGAAAATGGTGATATATTTATGAATCAAGAAGCTTACGTAAAGAAATTCTTGGCAAAATTTAATATACAAGATTGCAGACCAGTAGCCACACCAAATGAAAAAAACATTGTTCAAGATAGTGAAAAATTAGAAAAAGATATACCCTATCGTGAAGCAGTGGGAAGTTTAATGTTTTTAACGGTAGCTTCACGACCGGACAATGCATATGCAGTTAGTATGGTATCTGAAAAGTTAAACGACCCGCTAAAATCAGATTGGTGTGCTGTTAAGAGGATTTTTCGCTATCTGCTAGGGACTGTCAATTTTGGGCTTTACTATAAGTCCAGTACTGATAGTAACTTAAGTGTTTTTAGTGATGCTGATTATGCTGGAGACGTTGTAACCCAAAAGTCCAGAACTGGAGTTGTAAGCATGTACTTAGCTTCTGCTATCACGTGGCTCAGTCAAAAATAAAGAAGTGTCGTACTCTCAGCTAAGGAAGCTGAATATTCAGCCAGTATAAGTAGTAAAGATTGTGTCAACATATTAAGAAAATTAATAAAAGGTGTGGAAAACACACTGGAAAACAAGGAGGTAATGCTGGGAGCATTCTTGGATATCGAGGGTGCATTTGACAATACCTCCATTGAATCGATCATTAGATCTCTCAAACACAGAGGAATCGAGGACACGTGCGTGTCCTGGATCGACTTTATGTTAAGGAAGAGAACTATACACACAATCCTTATGGGAGAGACAATAGCGACACAGGTAACGAGAGGATGTCCGCAGGGTGGAGTGCTGTCTCCACTCCTGTGGAACCTTGTAGTGGACGGGCTACTTAGGGCTCTCAAAGATAAGGCACATAGAACCCTGGGATATGCTGATGATCTAGTGATCTTGGCACAGGGAAAATACAACACTATGGTAAGAGATCGAATGCAAGAGGCTCTAAATATAGCAACAAAATGGACAGAGGCGAAAGGACTAAAAATTAGTCCAAACAAATCTGACAAAATTGCATTCACCCGCAGGAGGAAATTGGAGGGACTAGGGCCTCTAAACCTAAGAGGTGCACGCATCCAGCTTAAGGGGGAGGTAAAATATCTCGGGGTTAAGATTGACTCGAGACTTACCTGGAAGCCAGCATCTAGAAAAAACCACAAGGAGAGCGGAAACCTCGTTAATGATGGCAAGGCAATCCTTTGGAAAAAAATGGGTATTAAAACCATACATAGTATATTGGCTTTATAACATGGTGGTGAGACCAATAATAACACACGCAGCTTTGGTGTGGTGGCTAAAGACACAGCAAAGGAAAGCAATAACTGTCGAAAATCAGCATATTCAAATAATGTCAAGTGCCAAGCGGCACTTAAGGCCATATCGAGTCAGAAAGTTACGTCGAGGGTGGTATGGGAATGCATCGAAGAATTAAGATCACTAGCAGACCGAAATAGAGTAAAACTATTTTGGCAACGAAGGCAACGAAAAAGCTAACGAACTTGCAAAAAGAGGGTCAGAAGAAACACCGGAACCAGACACAAACTCAGGAGTTCCAAAAAGTACAGTCCGGCGTTTCATAAATGACTGGATTCGGGAACAACATATTAACTATTGGGAAAGCACCATGTCCCAAAAGAACTGGATAACTACTCTTTATGAATAGGAACCAGTTGAAAGTGATAACAGGGTTCATGACTGGGCACGCTCCAGTAAAGGGACACTTGAACAAAATTGGCATGTACAATGGGGAACTCATGTGCCCACTATGTCACAAGAAACCAGAAACGGCCAAACACATACTGTGCGAATGCGAAGCTCTAGATCGCAAAAGCCAGGCACTTTTTGGACAACCCCAGGTTGATCCAACAACTCACTCGCCGAAAGATCTGGACAAACTTGTACAAGATACAAAGGTGACAGAGTGGGTGCTATGAACTAACATGGGGTAAAACACAATAAGCCAATAGGCTTCAGTGTTATTCGGAGACATAGTAAGACGAGCTCAAGAGAAAAAAAAAACATATTAAGAAAGGTCTTAAGTAGTTGGTTACTTAAGAGTATCTCTAGATGTCGGATATCAAACCGTAATGTACTGTGTCTGGTACTGTGCAAAGATTACAGACATAAAGATAGGAAACGCAACGACCGTAGCAACGATGGCGTCATCTATGCGTCTCAGATTTTAAGTGAAGAATCACGACGTTTATAGACAGATAGTAGACATGGACAGCAGTGGACAGCTTGTAACAATAAACGTCAATTATTTGTAGAATCCTGATTTTGAATTTTAAATTTTGAGTTCATGAATGGTTTATATTGTATGGTGAACTAAGCGAAATGGTTGTGGTTGTTTTTGTGTGAAATTTGAAGAAAATAATTATATTTTGTAACATTACAATATTTAACAACCCCAGTGAGGCATTCTTTAATATACCAAAGTAAGATCTAGCCATGTAAGTAATACAAACATTAGCCAACTTTTACCACAAAGTATTTATTTATTATTTATTGTTTTAGAGTAAGAAAATGGCTTCAAAACGTTGGAGAGAAGATTTAATATAGGAAGAAAAATATCTGAATTCCCATTATGGAGTTTGCAGTAAAATAAGACACCATTTACTCGTTTGCAAAATAAGAACAAAAACGTTGTTACAAATAAGAATCAAAAATTAAAAAAATATTTGTCCTGAATAGATTTACAATAATTAATCGATAATAGATTGTAAGTGTAATATTCTTTTTAATAAATAATTTATAAATTTATAAATAATTGACATTGTTTAAATTAATTTACCAGAACCTGAAAGTGCATATTTACAACCAATTATCAGTTTTTTAAATTTCCCGCTGAGTTATTTGGTTCTTATCGATGAAAGCGCCACATAGTGGGTCAGATACTAACTGCGTTCAAACTGGTCGTTATTAAGCATATGCTTCTTATGAGCGCATTCTATCTTTATATGCCTTATCTCTGGTACTGTGCATTAAAATCAGTTTTTATGACGTCACTAACTTGAGTCAGTGCTGACGAATGAAATCTCTAAAAAGAATTGTATAATGGGTATTAAGGTAAGTGCCCATTAAAATTTTGTTTAAGTAAGGTAAAAAATGACAAGTAATTGACACAACGAAGCAGACGATTTTAAAAATAACATGAAACTCTCACCGTCCTGGTCATTCCTGGAAAATGTAAAATCACAGCCTGTTCCGGCCACGTTTTCGTGACGTAGAAATGAAAATCCCAAACGTGATCCTTTAAGTACGTCTTCAGCGTCTGATGAAACTGCGAAAAACAACAACTCAGATTTAATGGAATAAATCGTTATTTTTTTTGTGTGTGTGTGTGTTTGAGGTGGTGCTTCGGATATCAACTAACCTTGATTGAATCGGGTAAGTAATTACTCAGAAAGTCAATAATCTCTGGAAGCTCTGAATCTGTAACCAACTTGAAATTTTTGCCTTCCGTTAGGACTTCTTCCATAGCTGAAACAATGACAGAACATACAGAGTGAGTTCTAAACGATTGCCAGGTCTAAAATGTAACAAACATTGTAAGTTTGAAAGTTGTTGGCCTTTTAACGAATGTGATGCCAAAATCATTATGAACCTTTCAAAATTTGTAATCAACTGCCTTTTAACTTAAATAGTTAATATTCTATGGACTTTTAAAGACGTTTTAACTATTTTTCACTAATAAAAAGATGTTTTATGGGCCAGCATTGTCCCACAATCGGATTTATTATATTTATGTATTGTATGTCAATTGTATGTAACTTTAGTAACCGATAGGCCATTGGCGGCTTTCTAACTGTTAAATGTACTTAAAAATAACAACGTTAACCTAAAAATTAAAACAGATTTTACACAGAGTATGTTATGTGCTATATTGTACAAAAAAAACTAAAGAAAAAAGAAAGTTATTTATAATTGACATGAATGTTTTATATTTAAGTACCAATCGTTCTATTAATCTAGGATGTACAGACTAAGAAACCGTCGTGTGTGCTTTCTTAGACATGGAAGGGAGCATGGCTCAGCTGCTGTCTACGAGAATTATAGAGACACAGATAGGATAGGACACCATCTTCATCTGCTCGACCAGAGGCTATCCACAAGTAGGAATTATGTCGCCACCAATGTGCAATCTAATCTAACTTCTGTCATATTTGATAAAGGTTAGTTTGGAAATATCCTATGTGATATAGTCCAAAAAGGACTAGAACCCCACCAAAACAACACTAGTAGCCTTTTCGAGGAAAAGAGAACTCATTATCAAAACCGTTAAATTAGACGGGATAGATATAGAATTAATAAAAAAAGTCAAATATCTAAGCGTAATCATGGACAACACACTTTTATGGAATATATGGAATATATAGCTACTACGAAAGCTAATATATGAAGGCTACAAGATATCATGTTTCAATTTTTAAAGGTAAGTGGAGTTACAGTGGGGTAATCTTAGATATCGGAACAAACTCTTTAATTAGTAAATTTAAAAAAATATTAGTGAAACCAACTCTTTAAGTATTAGTTAGTAATAAGAAGTGTATGACAGGCAATATTTCAGTTTTTAGCTTTCAGTAAAATATCAGTTAATGTAAAACAATTTCTTTAATTAATAGTTATTACTAAAAAAAGTGCATGACAGGCAATATTTCAGTTTCAATTCGATAAACAGTGGTTGGAATTTTTATAAATTAACATTATGCTTTTAACTTTTAATTTAACATTAGTTCAAAAAAATATTAGGAGAACAAACTCTAATTATTAGTTGAAAAAAGTGCGTGGAAGGCAATATTTCAGTTTCTAGCTCATAAACAATAGATGGTATTTTTTTTAAATGAACTTTCAGTATAACGTTAATTAATTTAAAATAAAATATTAGATAACATAACAAACTCTTTAATTATTATTTAATAAGAAAAAAAAGTCCATGACAGGCGATTTTTCAGTTTTTATCCTATAAATAGTAGATGGTATTTTTTAAAAATGAACTATTTTTAGCTTCCGAAAAATCGAAAAATCAAAAAATCGAAAAATCGAAAAATTGAAAAATCGAAAAATCGAAAAATTGAAAAATCGAAAAATCGAAAAATCGAAAAATCGAAAAATCGAAAAATCGAAAAATTGCAAAATCTAAAACCGTGGATGAAGACGAATTCTATTTTTTACAGTAGTATCGGTTTGGTTCACTGAAGATCAAGAACAAAAAAAACGTCACTATAATCGGACAAAAGCAAACAAAAGCGGCCAAAAGCGGACAGGTGTTAAATTATTCGGACAAAAGCGGGACACAATGGGGACAGATATTAAATCGGGACTATCCCGCTTAAATCGGGACGGATGCGCTTGACCAGCAGTGGAAGTATTTAGAGTGTATATGTAAAGTACGTTTGAATATCCACATCCGAAGCATTTTTTACATCTGTCCTACTACATTTACGTATATTTAATCACGTGATCAAAGATTTACAACATCTCAGATGCATCCGATGTGGATATTCAAACGCAGCAATAGATCTGGTACGTAAGTAGCGCTGTGCGAACAGTGTTGCCAGGTCTACTGATTTTTCAGTAGATCTACTGATTTGGCTATTTATCTACTGATATACTGATATCAATGTGAATTCTACTGAATAAAAAATCATAGCAATACACGCGACTTGTGCACTCTTTGGTAGGGCTGGACGATATTTCACTTCACAGTGATTATGTCACTATTATAGTTTTGTCACAGTTACAACAATGACAAGCTCTCCATGACTCGTTACTTTGAAGTCGTGACATGACAACAATTTTACTACTGGAAACCATAAAAATCCATAAAAAAATATTGGATGTAAATTATAAAACGAGAGTAGTGCCTTCATACTATTTTATGTTTAACACCTTACTAATCGAAGCCATAAAAGATAAACGACCATTTTGTAAGCAATAATGTCACTTGTCATATGTCATTTCCAACAGTTCCAGCATTTTTATAAGTCAATAAATTTTTTAACGTCATAATTTATTTTTAATTTGTTTTGAACTAGTAGTAGTTCGACAAAAGAGTCTAGGAAGAAGAATGGTTATATTCTATAGAATATTAGTACTTCTACCCTTATTTCATTTTTATGTAGTAGAAAGAAAACGCTGGCTCATTTGCTGTCACTTTTGTCACAAAATCACGGATTAAAATCACTGATATTTAAAAGTCACAGGAACAAGTATCGCTGATACCTTTTTTTTTTAAATCACGACATCGCCCATTTCTACTCTTTGGACGAGCCCTGTCACCTGTCAGGCTGGTGCGTTTTCGAACGCAGCTTAGATGGCAGCCAAAATACAATTTTTATTAAACGTATGCAAAAATTTAATAGAATTCCTAGAGAAATTAAAAAAAAAACAATAAATATCTTCAAAAGTAACCTCAAACAATACTTGATAAATAAACAAAACGGATATACTTTCTTATGATAATACTCTTTAAGCCTGCCCTTTTTAAGTATTTCCCTTAATTTATTTTTATTTTACTCGCATTTATTATAAATTATTTGTTTTGAGTTCATGTACTTTAAAAAATTCTTTGATGTTATATTAATACTATGTTTAAATTATTATTTGACTACCAATGTAAATTAGCAGTTGCTAAATAAATGATTAATATATAATTTTTTGCTTTATTTAGAAACAAAGCTCACTAGGGGTCTACTTTAAAACAAAAATAGTTTTGCGACTGTAGGTTATAGCAACTTATAGCCACAAAACTATTTTTGTGTTAAAGCAGATTCATATAGAGCAATATAATTTACAAATGTCTTCTTTCAACATACAAATAAATGACAACTTTATAATTAAGATGAAAAACACAATAAAATACCTCGGTTATCATTAAAATCTCAAGGTAAGAAGATTCATTTTAAATTTTATGAATTGAGGAAATTTATGACTAGGAGTTTACTAATTATTATTATTTACAATTCGCTGTTTGAATCTATTTTGCTATACCTCTCTTTTATATAATAAAAAGTGCTTTGTATAAGAACATTATATTATCTGTCCTGCTGTACCTTTATTTATGGAAAGCCTGAATTGAGATACACTACAAATTATTTGCAATAAATATCAAAAGAAGCATGCATTTTTAAATAATTTGACATTTAAGAACCATTCACACATCACAGTTGACATCTTGATACTTGACAGGTACAGACAAGCATTATTCTGATTTTTTGCCAAATAAAATGGGCGATTAATTATTCTATGTGGTTGCGACAGAGAGCTAGTAAATTTGATGAAGGTGTTACTGTGGCTAGGGGCGAAATAGTAGTAAGCTTAAGTTAGCACCACCATAAAAAAATCATTTTTAAGAAACTGCTTACATATTTTTCATAAATTGGCAGGCTTGGCGACTACTATTTCGATTAAAAATAGCCTCAAAAATGGCTATGGTTAAAAGGACGAAGGTCGCAACCCACCTTAGAAATCTCACCTTTAGAATCAATAGCTGTTGTCTGACAGGTCGTTGGAAAATGTTAGGCATGTTAGACGTTAGGAATGATTGGAATTCGTAAAATTAGTCACATAAGATATGCATAGGCGGATTTTAAGAACATTGATATTAAAGTAGTTAGAATGAACCGAAAATTCTGAAAATCAATATGGTTCTAAGTTAGAAGCAGTTATTCAAGAAAATCAAAACCGGCATATATACAAACAGACGACCAGGCGAATTTTTTTTGCATTTTCGTCTGCACGAATGCAATACCTACTGATGAGGCCCCATAGGAAGGGCCTCCGTAATTAAAGTAAAGAATGTTTCTAGAAATTTTATATTACGGCAATATTCTCAAATACTAGTCTTTGCTAGTCTTAAAAGTAATAGAACATATTGTGTTTTTCCTTTTTTTAACAATCCAACGCCTTTACACCCAAAACACAAATTTTTATAAATCTCACGTGAAATTAGGGAAGTTGAGGAAAATCTTACGAAATCTTGTTCATAAACTAACGTAAAGTCTAAATACAAATTTTGAAATAAAAATTCGATTTTTTTAAAAATAAAATAACAGTGGTTTTTACTTATTGGGTACCCCCAATATGCGGACACACTGTATATGATTTATTCCTTTAAAATAAAATACATTTTTAACACATATAATAATGTTCTCACCTAACTGCCTGATTTTACAAATTTGTTACAACCTAACCGGTTTTTTTTTTTTGGAATAGTAAAATATAGTGAATTGAATTTTTGTTATTGCCAATTTCTTTACATTACAAAATTGTACAATAGTTGAATGCATAAAAAATAAACTAGAACTTAGAAGCAATTCAAAGTATTTTTCGCTATTTATTTTTTAATTGTTTATGAAGAAGGGTGTGAAATAAACGTTATTCATTTTAAATTATCAAAAATTACTTTTCAATTTCAATCGAACATTATTAAAACTAATAACTTTGCATATATAGGCACGATTAGTAGTGCTTTTAAAAACCGGATAATTGAACATTTTGGATAAACATTTTTCTCACTTCTGTCAAACGTACTTCTGATGGAATATAAATACAAGTTAAAAATAATTATAAATTATTGATAGTGTCCTTACCTCGTAAAAACGAGCCTAATAATTCCAAAAAAAAAACTATTTCTGCTGAAGATTTTTTTTTTTTCAGTTGTTAACGTTGAGACGAGCGATAGAGGAGAGGCACACAAGTGAATCGATTCGCAAGGGTTGCGGAGAGGTCTGCAGCCCCCGAGCGCTCCCCTTGTACTGCAGCTACCCTCGCAGAGCCTTCACCGGTTTTGGTAGCGGGCCAAATATCGGCGCATGACTCATTCTAACCCTATGTTCTCGCGAATCGTCGCGAATGCGAAAACTTCTTCCCGAAGATCCGATTCGGACATGTCGGCCGGTGATGGCAAGGCCGCGGCAAGACATGTGGTCGCCTCCGGTTCTTGTAGGTGCAAATCAAAAACTTGCGTAACCTTAGGGCCGTTTCCTACACGGTAGGCCGTTTGAATCGCATTGCAGACCAGACACATGGTCCCATTGAGGAATTATAATTAACAGTGTTCAAAAATGACAAGCTTTTTTTCATTCTCTTTATAATCCACCCCGTATAAATAATATACAGTGTGTCCTAAATTGGTGATGCATGTATTGCGATCTCCGAAACTGTTAGAGATAGAAAAACGGTTAAATGGGGAAAGTTTTAGACAATTCTGTTTATAATTCAATGCCGTTTAGTTTGAGATTTTTTCTCTTTTGGTTTTTGAGATATTTTGAAAAAACTAAAATGGCGCATTTCCGAAAATACCCTGTATTTTCTTGATTCATGAAAATTTCTGAAATCTTTAAAAACTTTCTTGGAACAACTTTACGTAGAAAACGCCTGTGTCGTCAGATTTTATTTGCAACGTTTTAGTTTCTTGGAACCATCATCAACTTTGTTTTTTCATTTGGGCGCCAGATTGGATTTTTACTGTTTCGAAATGCCCCCTTTTTTACCTTCCTAATGATGTATCACACTTAGTAAAAAAAAGTTAGGTTATGGGTTAAAAAACCAAAAATTATGATTTTGTTTTTAAGAAATTTTCATAAAAAAGAAAATACAGGGTATTTTCGGAAATGCGTCATTTTAGTTTTTTAAAATGTCTCAAAAACCAAAAGAGAAAAAATCTCAAACTAAACGGCATTGAAATATAAACAGATTTGTTTAAAACTTTCCCCATTTAACTGTTTTTCTATCTCTAACACTTTCGAAGATCGCAATACATGCATCACCAATTTCGGACACACTGTATAGTAAACAACAACATATTTTATTTAAAAATCTTTCACAAATCACAAACCGGCCTTGACCCATGGCAACAGTAAATGTTTTTCGAATGCCATATTTTGACACCTGCCTTATTATTTTAAGCGCCTAAATACAATGTTCTCCCTCATGGAAAATTTCCAATAATTTAATTACGAGTGCCTACCTCTTTCACACTCGTAAATCTGTTTTACTATCACTAACATAAGTATAGTAAAAATAGATACGTTCTTTCTATGCAAAAATCACGCAGAACCATCATGTGATGTTTCCTCAGCCCATCACGACGAGACATACGGTTACTAGCCTTTCTACATTTACACTCGACAGATAGACAATGAGATTCATTCCGACCTCCATGACTCCAACATATTTGCTTTGTTTCGCGTGATCGACAGCTATCCCGTTTATTTATCAATCATAAAGGTATATAAGCACTTATATTATTTCACTATGTACAGCTATTATGTAAGCTGAAGCAAGTTTATAATCTTGTAACGTTTGTTTAATTTATTTATAGTTTATTTTTTTAAAACATTTTATTTATAATTTATAAGGTACTAATTAATTTATATAATACTTGGGCACTAACTCACAATTCTAATTTATTTATTACAATATGTCTTTACTGTTCAATACTTCAATACGCTAGTTCAGTTATGATGTAATTATGGTTCCACTGACAATTAAAGTGACAGTAGATTGTTTGAGTGCATTTTGTTCGTTTTGTTTGCCTAAATTATATCGTTTTTTCACTTTTATAAATATATTCCTAAAGTAAGTAGATAACATGTACAATCGTTTAGTTACTAATTACATAAAGTATTTTTTAAAACCTGTAAACAATATTTAGAAATAAAATAAAAACAGTAAAAACGTATATGTTAAATTTATTAATGTTTTTGTTAAAAGTTTGATTAGAATTAAATGTCAGTGGAACCAAAATGACATCACACCGAACTAGCGTATTGAATCTTCTCGTCCGTCGACGAACTGGTACAATTTATATAAAGCCACCTCTGTACCAGAACTCTCTCGGCTTTCCAGAACGATCGAAAACTGCCTTTCTATGACTCATTCGCCACAAAGGGATTAATCCGGTAGCTTCTTGATGCCAAGGAGTAAACAAGGAACAGAGACAGCTTTCGCGTCACAGTTTTAATAAAATTGTTAACTGAAAGATACATTTTAACTTTATCATTATCGAATAAGTGTCTGACAATTCCTCAATAAGAATCATATATTTCCACTAGCTACAATTACTACAGTCCATCGCTCCCAGCTGATGGGAAGAAACCCTTACTTCTGTGATGAAGATTTAGAAGATATCGAAGACGCAAATAATAAACACATTGGAATTGACGGACAGTGATTATCATAGCAATAGCAACCGACAATTCGGGTATTTCTGTGTGCAGGGCGGGAGGGTTAATTGCCCTTTTATCCCCTTGTATCCACGCCTAGCCGTGTTGTATCTCAAAAAATATCAATGTCACAAAAAAAGAAATATCTAAATTTATGGATTAACCGATATTTTCTTACATAACTCAAAGAAGGGTTTATCCCCTACAACAAAAATAGGTAGGACCATTTTTGTAGACAATTAAATATCCTATATTTTATATTCGAAACTGTTTTTTGTAAAATTTGTTTTTTTTTTCTGATACAACAGGTCAAAGTTTATTCATTAAGAATGAAATACAGAAAAACTGAAGATAAGACGAATAAACGAAACATGCTTAAATAAAATACTACTCGTTTCCAAAATACAGGGTGTTAAAGATAAAAATTCAAAAACTATAAATGGCAATTTTAAATAAACTTTGCCAGTGGCGTACGGCATGGATAAGTAAAACCTTCATTCATCTCCAAAAGTCTTGGCCCCCCCCTTGGTAACTGAAATCTAAGGGCAAGAAGACCGTTAAGAGTGCCTAGGCTTTGACCTCGACACAGAGCTGCACGTCGCCAATGGGCTCAGGAGTACAGAAACTGGCTTTTACCACAATGGCGCAACGTCCTTTTTTCGAACGAGTCCCGATTTGGCCTATAGAGTGAGTAATAGTCGATGGAAAAGAGTCTGGAGGATTCCAGGCAAACAGGAACGACTTAGTTTTGCAAGAGTTGTTGTTCCCTATCAAGGCGAATCAATGATGTTTTGGGGGGTATAATGTTTGATAGCCACACTCCACTTATTTTGATTAACAAAACTATATTATGGCAGGTACCAGATACGCTTGAAATATTATTCAACCTATCATTCAGCCTTTAACTTTCCAAAATTGTAGCTTTTTTGATAAGAGTGGTACAATATTCCTGATCAATTTAATGATAACCTGATCTACGGGGTGTCCCGACGCGTTGGCCAATTGATTGAAAGGAGAGGGAGGCGTTAATACAGACTATTAAGTTACGTTTTTGTTACGATAAAACATTTTTTCTCAAAAAATTAGATTAAATTCTTACTTTTTGAACCTTTTTAGGGTTCCGTATCCGAAGGGTAACCAACGGGATCCTATTTGTAAGCTTCTGCTGTCCGCCCGTCTGTATATCAGCCTGTATCTCATGATCCGTAATAGGTGGACAGTTAAAATTTTCACAAAATTCTTTTTTTGTTGCTTTTTTGCTTTTTTTGCTTATCTTTGCTTTTTTTGCGTTTTTTGCTTTTTTTGCTTTTTTTTGCTTTTTTTGCTTTTTTTGCTTTTTTTGCTTTTTTTGCTTTTTTTGCTTTTTTTTGCTTTTTTTTGCTTTTTTGCTTTTTTTTGCTTTTTTTTTGCTTTTTTTTGCTTTTTTTTTTGCTTTTTTTGCTTTTTTTGCTTTTTTTGCTTTTTTTGCTTTTTTGCTTTTTTGCTTTTTTTGCTTTTTTTACTTTTTTTTGCTTTTTTTGCTTTTTTGCTTTTTTTGCTTTTTTTGCTTTTTTTGCTTTTTTTGCTTTTTTTGCTTTTTTTTGCTTTTTTTGCTTTTTTTGCTTTTTTTGCTTTTTTTGCTTTTTTTCAAAAAGTTGGCTGATGAGAAGCTCGCTAATAATTACACCATTAAGGAAGTGCCAGTTTTAAATCCTAGGTTCAAAATTGTTGGTATGTCTAAAAAACTATCTGATGAAAACCTAATTAATTGTTTTAAAATTCAAAATAAAAATGAAATAGTGATCTAACAGTTATTTCCCATTTTCCACTTAAGAAAAACAACAAACTGCATCAGGCAGTTATTCAGTGCGATATATCTACCTACAAAAATGTAATGCTTCAGGGAAAACTCTTCTTCGGCTATGATTATTTTTCCATGACGCAATTAATCTGAGGAGATGCTTCAAATGTAGTTTGTAAATCATATATCTTTGTGTCCTATATGCGCTCAAAACCATCAACTAAAAGACTGTCCGAGAACCATTGAATATTGTATTAATTATAATAAAACCACAGCTTATACAATACAGCTAAAACACTCTCTTGGTGGCAACGGTTTGCGTCGATTCCGTCGCGCATCGCTTAAGCTCCGCCTTCGGACGGAAAATACGGCTTTGGCGTTCAGAAACGTACTAAGGTAAGGTATTGAGCCGTGCGTATAATTTCGTTGATTTTGTTTGAGCTCTCTGTTGTGTTAAGTTAAAGGTACAGTTATTATTTTGGTGGCTCTTTAGCTGTGACTAGAATGAGTGAAAAAAAAGACATCATTCTGTTTTTGCAGTCAAAAGCTGTTTTAATAAGGGTTATACCTGCAAGAAAACATTCTTTCGTTTTCCCAAGGATATAAGAAATTTTCATTGTTAAAAATATAATTTATATAGGGTGTCCCATTAGTGCGTAATTATTTAATATTTGTGTTGTAAACACGCAAAAAAGTTTTAAATAAAAGTTATATGGATTTGAAAAATGTCTACATATTTTAAAAATATATTTGAATGATATATAGGGTGTTGCGTTTTTGCCTGGCAAATTTAAATGTATGTTTTTTAGGATGAATTTATTAACACCCTAAATTATTATAAAGACGAGTTGCTACAGTAAAATTTTATTAGGTACGTGTGTGTTTACCTTTTAATAAAAACCTTGCGGATCCACTACTCTGACACCTGTCTTAAATATAACATAGATCACGATGAATTAGATGATTTTTCTTCTCATTGATTTTTAAAGGCATATGATAACGCCAATTCAGATACATTTGGATATCTGCAACTGCAAATGATGAATTTGTAGAACTAATTTTCAATATTGAAAAGATATTTCAAAATATTTTTGAAAAATTGACTACAAAAAATAACATTTGTACCACACTTTTAGAATTAATTAACCCAATACCCTTTAGTCATCCATGCCAACGTTTTCCAAAAGAATAACCTATTTAAATGTATGTTTAATCTCAATAACTAAAAAATATACTGACAATTAGTTGGACAAAATTGTCACTTATTTAAAATTTTAAAAATAATAGCAGTCGGTTGATCAAAATATGAACGTTGATTGGCGGATTTAATATTTTTGCAGTGTTCTCACTACCTAGAATGGATATGAAACATAATCGTTCAGTTGAAGGCAATAGCATACTTTTACGTTCTGTAATATGTGCGTAGGTAAGGTAATATCCATGTGGGTGTAGAAAAAATAATCACCAAATTCAAGATCTTTATATCAGTTCTGTTACCTCGGTCACGGTGCTTGGGAACCAACTTTAAATGAAAAGTTTATTTACTAGACTTTTTTTGTCAAAGTATTTCTGAAGGACTATAGATTGGCGCAATATATTTTTTAAAATCGGTTTCAGCAGCCGTATTTGAGAAAACTCGATTTTTCATGAAAAAGTGACCTTTTCCGCTTAGGGGGTGCAACTGCCAAAACAATGTTACTCCGTAAAAAACAAAATTGACTGGTCCAAGCGTTTTTTAGTAGATGACCTGGTTTCTCGCCAGCAATACTAGAGAGCTGTTTCTAACTCTAAATGAACGTTTTTTTCTAACGGTGTTTGATCAGGAGCAACTTTCAAATGTTCTCCCTTTTCCCCTTAAGCATTTGCTCAATGGCATATGTACAAAGATCTTATCTTGATAATTGTAGACCGTTAATAATCTTTCTTTTTTGACGTCATAAGGTTTTATACACCAAAAATAATAAAACCTTAAGTTCAACGCGTTGTCTATGACGGCGACTTTTTTATCACAAAAAATAGAGATCTGAACGATATTTTCAGAAATTGTTTTTTAAAATGGGTTCAGAGTGCGGCAAAGAATGGTGGAAAGTTTATAGTTTGTTTTACTTTTATTGCCTATTATTTTAATAAGCGATATTTAACAAATATTTAGAAGTTATGGACTTTCCACCATTTTTTATAGTATTTAAAAGCTAAAACGCAACTGTGCTAATTCGAGACATACGAGGTAAGCGCCAATAATTCCCGGCCTGACAATGAAGGAGGCAAAGTACAACAACAAGTTTTTATTATTTTTCAATGTAATCTCCCTTAACCCCAATGCACTTCTATGTTTAATTAACAATTCAATCCCTTTAAAAAATATTTTTTCGGTTTATCCTCAAAATGGGCCAAAACAGCTTTTTGTAACTCAAAATCGTCCCGAAAACGTCGCCCGCGAAGGTCCTTTTTCAAATAACTAAACAAACAATAATCGCTGGGAGCCATATCTGGACTATAAGGAGGGTGATCTATATTTTGAAACCCGCAAGCTAGGATGGCAGCTTGTGTAACGCTAGCAGTATGAACGGGCGCATTGTCGTGCAACAACCGCACGCCTCTGGTTAATTTTCCTCGACGTTTTTCCTGAATACATTCCCGCAACTTATGAAGTAATGCGGCATAATATGTGCCATTAACGGTGGTATTTGTCTCTTTAAAATCAATCAGAAGGATTCCTTCACAATCCCAAAAGATCGTAGCCATCACCTCTTTCGTTGATTGGCAGACTCTAAATTTTCTTGGGGGGGCTTCACCCTTACGGCACCACTCCATTAATTCCCTTTTCGACAGAGGATCATAATAAAGAACCATAGTTTCATCTCCAGTGACTATTGTTTCCAACACGGGGTTCGGATCATCTCCACACAGTTCCAAAAACGATCGAGCACACTCGACACGACGTTGCTTCTGAATCGCCGAAAGGTGTTTGGGTACCCATCTTGCACTAACCTTATTCATACCCAAATGATCATGGAGGATTCGGCGAACAGTGGTATCAGAAAGCTTGGTAATTTCTGCCATTTCCTTGACCTTCAAACGTCGGTCACTTAGCACCAGGTTTTCCACAAGGGCCACTTTGTCCTCCGTTATCACCTCCACTGGCCGTCCAGGTCTTTCGTCATCTTCAAGGGATTCCTGACCCATGCGAAAACGTTTTGCCCATTCCTTCACTACCGGATAGGAAGGGGAACTTTGGCCATATACGCCATCGAGTCTTTCTTTAATAATTTTAGGTGTAAGCCCTTCTTTTGTTAAAAATTTAATAACCGCTCTGTACTCAATTTTCGTCACCTGAGACATTTTCGGAGATAATTTAGTTCAAAATGCTGACAATTAAAAACTATTTGACGTAAGTCGCTTATTTTGTTACCACAGCCTACTACGGTTTGTAGTTATAAAATGTTAAACTTTTATCCTGATAAAATATCTGCAACTATGTCAGGCCGGGAATTATTGGCGCTTACCTCGTACGTTTTATTAAACTCATCGTGTTACGAATTTCTGACAGTAAAGTGGCGTCTTGTATTAATTCGAACAAAAAATCGTTTCCAACCTAAGAAAAAAGTTGAGTTGGATCTTAAAAAAAAAGTAAGCTTTAATATTTTGCACGAGTATTAGGATTATCGCAACCTGCAACGTCACATATTAACTCTGACAGCCAATGAAAAATTGATGCTGCAATAAGGCATCCTGTCGCTCTATCAACTTGGGCCACGACAGCTTCTTTATTTCACTTATTGGCACTTTTTGTCAACGTTGTGCTATGGGTGCTCCGCACCCAGTTTAAAACTGCTCTCCCGAGGAATCGGCGCCTATGGTGGTCGATGAAATCTTTGACTTAATTTTGCACAATCAGTCCTAAATAAAAAAAACCTGCTTACATGTACTTAAAATATTTATTTGGTAAAAATATATCATTATAAACTACACAATATATTAAAATATAAAACAGTTTCAACGTAAATGCTAACTTCATGCGTACATCTATGGCATATTATATATAATAAAGTTATAAAAATAATCATAAAATTCCATTATAAAAATATCACAATTTGGAAACTTATACAGACTCAGGAAAGTCACTTTACGCATTAAATAAACGGAACCAATTCAAAACCATTAATAAGTCGACATAAGTTTCATTCTTATAGATATAGATATTATTTAAATTGTAATCTTTCTACTTCGTTTTACTTCGACATTTAAGACACACAAGATACCTAAAAAAAATGACTTCAATCAAAAATTAAACAGCGACACCATTGACATCGGTCACAGATGAAACATTACTAAATAAAAGAACGCACCTACATTACTTTGATGATCGATGCATAATATGACAACTGGCATATTATATGTCAGTTTTAAAAACGGTATTTTAAGTGTCAAATGTCAGTCCGAAATAATACGTTATTATAATATAGATTATATGGTCATTAAATTTATTAGATTTTTAATTAAAAAAGAAAATTAAAAATAAACTTTCATATTAAAAATAATACATAAACCCCTTGTAAATATTTGAAAATTATTGATTTAAATAAAATATGAATCGTCATATCCCAACGATATAATAAGAGCAACAAATTCTATAAAAAAACAAAATCTTTAATTGCAAAACTTTTGCAGTTGGACTTTATCATACCCATATTTTACTACTGGGGTTATCAAACCCCACCTCAATAGTAATTTCCAAAAAAATTAAATGAATGTCAACTTTGTTATCCAATACTCGTATAGAGGAATTTTAACCATTGGAGTATACCGAACCCCAAAAGTGCTGCATCGTCAGTAACTTTCATAAACCATTAAAATTTAATTTACCACGTCTTTTTAGATGCGGTAAACGAAATTTTCTAGGCGGAGTTAGACAGATCGAAATTTACGTAACGAATTAAGGCGTTAAAGTTTATAAAAATAAAGTTATTCGGACTTAAAATGTACTCTGTAATTCCACAACTTTTGCCGTTGCATTTGGGGCTCGTCGCACCCTATGTAAATTTTCTGTTGGGGTTTATCAAACCACATTTAAATATTAGTAATTTCCTAAAGTTTAAAATTATAACCATTGGGGTTTGTTACACCCCAACAAGATAATAATAGTAAATTCTTTAAAACAATTATTTCTTAGACTTGGTTGGTCAAACTTTATTTAAAAATTAGAAAATTATCTAAAAGGGTTAGTTAGACCCAAATTTATGTAAAGCGTTAAAATTTATAAAAATACAGTCAATTGAACTCAAAGTTTACTCTGTAATTTCTTAACTTTTACCGTTGGATACGACTTTTGCGGTTGGGGTTTATCTCACCCCGAAGTATTTTTGCTGTTAGGGTGTATTAAACCATATTTAAATAATAGTTATTTCTTAAACGTTTATCTGAGGGTGACTAAACTCACGTTATTGCTGGTCAACTAAAATGCAATTCACAGATGAGTCACCCTCAAATAAAAATTGTTATACCTACTTTAATATAGATTAATCTTAACCATTGGGGTTTGTCACACCCCAATAATATAATGATAATTTATTTAAAACGATTATTTCTAAGACATGGTTTGCCATACCTCGTTTAAAAATTGGAAAATTATCTATAAGAGGTTAGTCAGACCCAAATTTAAATGTAAAAAAATGTAAAAAATTATAGTTAATCGTACTCTGTAATTCCAAACTTTTGCCGTTGTATTTTAGTTTTGCAATTGGGATTTATTGCACCCCGATGTATTTTTGCTGTTGGGGTTTATCAAACCATATTTAAATAATAGTAATTTCTTAAAGTTAAACTAATAATTCGAGCTCTGTTTGACATACCCCACTCATATAAACGAATTTTAAACATTGGGGTTTGTCATGCTCCAATAATGTAATAATTAGTAATTTCTTTGAAACCATTATGTGTTAGACGCGGTTTGTCATACCTCGTTTAAAAATAGGAAAATTATCTAGGTGGGGTTAATCAGACCCAAAGTTACTTAACGAATTGGAGCATTAAAATTATCATTAATCGGAATTATTAAAATTCACTCTGCACATGCACAAATTTTGAAGTTGGGGTCTATAACACCCCGTTTTTTGACACTTACATGGCTGTGATTTCTGACAGGAATTTTAACCATGGATTAGAAAATTATCGTGTATTCCACGACAAATAAAAATAAAATAGATGTCGTACCCCAGCGGTGTAATAAATGCAACAATTAACGATTTAACGCATTAAAACTTATCAAAGGTCGTTCTGTAATTACTCAACGTCTACAACTGGGGGTTTAACAAACCCGGCTTTTTAATACCGGGGTTTATGAAACCCCACAATTATTTCAGATAGGAATTTTAACTATTGGGGTTTGTTATACCGCGACTAAGTAATAATTGGTATTAGTACGGAAAATTCCAACTAAAAAAGCTTTTTAGTGGTCTTTTACCTCCAATTATATCAGTGATTTCCGACTCGTATTTTAACCATTAGGGTTTGTCATACCCCAACTAAGTAAAAATAATTTTGGGTACGGAAGATGTCCACAGACGTAATGTCGATTCAATACTTTAAAACAGCTTTTTAACCCCTGTTTTGCTGTTGGCCAAACTTTTGTTTTTCTTGAACGGGGATCCCGTCTCTTCATCGTTTTCCGTGTGGCTTCTTTTGTTTGAATTAGATGTCGAAGGCGATAAATTTGAAGTTGAAGTCGAAGGTCCAGGATCATAAATCGAATTGTCAGTTTCATTTTCTTCGTTCACTTGTGGATCGGTTTTGCGCTTCTTCTTCGGTGAGGTGGATGGTGTCGTGGAGGGGGATTTTATTTCGAAATCTGAATCGTAATCGCTCGGGCATTCCGAGCTCGTTGGTTTAGAAGGAGTGGAAGAAATTGAATCTGCTTTATTTAATGTGATACTCTTCTTTGGAGAATTGGTGGTTGATGAAGAGTCGTCAGTTTTTTCTACAGCTTCTTGATTAGCAACCTTTCCTTTTGGCGTCTTCTTTCTAGGCGTTTTTTTCTTTGGGGTTTCTTTCTTTAGCGTTTCTTTCTTTGGGACTTTCTTTTTGGATCCGATGGCTGAAAAGAACGAACTAATTTAGTGAGATGTCGAAAATGCTGATTATTTTAAATTGAATTGAAAAAAAATATATAGGTTATTAATTGCTAAATACCAGACCAACGATGGTTTGCTCTGGTTTTGCGCAGGCGTCAACATAACAAACTTCGTGCTACATTGAATGGTATGAAAGACTACCTAAAACCAATGGATGGAAATAAAATAGAGGACAAATCAAGAAAGATAACAATTTGGACCGAAGAAATAATAGTTGCTGCAGAATAAAAAGATCAGATAGGAGCAAATTGTAAAACAACACAAAACACACGTCAAAACCCCACGACAAATAAGTATAAGGAATTTTATTGTCCACAAAAAAAAGTTATACCAAATGTTTTATTACAAATTGTTATATTTTAGTTTTAAGTTAGTTGTTTGCAAAAAAATATAAGTTTTTAACACCCGTGAGGTGAAATAAATCGATAAATATTTAATTTGCAAAAACCAATTTTGAACAAAATATATGGGGAATTGTATTGTCAGTAATAAAGTATTGCAATTTTTTTATTACCAACTATTTTATATATTTTTCTGAGATAAAGGAAAACGTTTCTAAAAACTTGTAAAGTGAAATTTACAGAAAAAACCTTTATACAAAATGTTTGGGGAATTTTATCGTCCGTAAAAAACTTATTGCAATTTTTTTATTACTAATGATTCTATATATTTTTCTGAGATAAAAGAAAACGTTTTTAAAAACCTGTAAAGTGAAATAAGTCGATAAATACATTTACAGAAAAAACTTTTAGACAAAATGTGTGGGGAATTTTATTCCCCATAAAAAAATCATTGCAATTTATTATTACCAATTATTTTATAGTTTTTGTATTTAAACTAGTTATTTGTAAAAAAAATACGCATTTAAAAACTAGAAAAGTGAAATGAGTTGATAAATATCAAATATACAGAAAATTTTATTGTGCAATTTTTTTATTACCAAGTCTTTTTTAATAAGAATAGTTGAGAGTTTGATTGTTTGCTTACTAATAATATATGCTCTGACCATGTTGTCTTTAGTAATGATAACGCCGAGATCATTTTGGGACGATACTGTCTTTAAGGCATTATTATTAATATTATACACTAATTAAGGATTGTTTTTACCGATATGAAGAACAACACATTTATCAACATTTAGCGGTAAGAACCAGTCTGAACTCAACTTTGCTACCGCACTTAGATCAGATTCAAGAGACTGATAGTCCGCAATCGGATTAGCTTAAATTTTTGTATCGTCTATGTAGAAGGAGCAACAGCTTTTTATGTGCACAGAAATATCGGCAGTATATAATAGAAAAAGTAGGGGACCAAGGACTGGTCCTTGAGGCACTTACTGACAACGGATTTGGTTTGAGAGAAACTATTACCAACTCTTACGCGAAATCGTCTGGAGGTTAAGAAGTCCGTTACCCAAGCTATTAAGTTGCCTCGGATTCCCAGGTGTTCAATCTTTTTGATAAGTCGATGCTTTGGAACTCTATCAAAGGCTTTAGAAAAATCTAAGTATATAACATATTTAGGAAGACCAGCATCTAAGGCTTTTGTCCAGTCATTGACAGACTGCAGGAGATTAGTTAAGGTAGATCATCCTCTGATAAATCCATGTTGTTGGGTGGGAAGTACAAGTTCATTTACAAGAAAGTCAGTTACCTTATCACATATTATGGAATCCATTAATTTACAAACTATTGGTACAAGGCTTATCGGTCAAGATGTGAGAATTAAAGGAGGAAGTCATTACACGGGAAATAGGGTAACAGATAGTGTCAGCACAAGATTTTAAAAGAAAAGAGGAGATACTATTTAAGTCTAGCGAAAAGTTGGACTTAAGCATTTTAAGTTTGTTTTTTATTATGTCTGCATCAAACGATACATTGGAAATAGAGCCCTGTATTTTGTTTAGTGAAATATCCGGAAGTGGTGATGTCATATCTTCAAGGGTGAAGACATTACAGAAGGTATCAGAAAGAAGTTGAGCAGATGCAGTACTGTTGGCACACTTATCTCCGTTTTCTTTTTGTAGAAGAGGTACGGACACTTTGGATGTCAGATTTGTTCTAATATATTTATAGAACTTTTTGCTATCAGCATAATTGACGATGTACTCCTGATAGTTATACTTTGCTTAAATAACTGCGGCCTTTAGTTGATTGGAGAATAGTCGATGCGCAGAGAAATCGTTCATATTGGTGGTTCACTTAAATTTTTTCCATAAGTGTTTCTTATGTTTTACCATAGACAGCAGTTTATTATTTATCCAGGGTTTCAGATTTGTTCTTCTGTTTATTTTGTTTTTAGTGAGATTTTACACAATAATTAACTGTATTTTGAATATTCCACATGCAGCTTGGATCATTGTTTTCAGGGATAATAATATTAATCCAGTCTAGTTGGTCTAGATAGGAAAAAACTTCAGCAAAGTGAGAAGATAGTGTGGTTGGATGTGCAATTCTTTTAAAGTTTTTTTTTTTTGTGTTTAAATTAGTGCAAGAATAAGTTTTTTTTATAAACTAGAGAAGTGAAATGAGTCGATAAATATCAAATATGCAGAAAAAACTTTTAGACAAAATGTGGGAAATTTTATTATGCAATTTTTTTATATATTATTCTGAGGAAAGGAAAAACATCTTTAAAAACATGTAAAGTGAAAAAAGTCGAGGAATATAAAATTTTTAGAAAACACTTTTAAACAAAATGTGTGGGGAATTTTATCGTCCACTAAAAAAGGTCATGCGATTTTATAATTACCAATTATTTGATATACTTTTTTTATTTTAAATTAGTTATTTGGAATATAAGTATTAAAAAACCTGTGAAGTAAAATATCTCGATAAATATTAAACTATGGGTCAGTGTAACAATTTTAATTAGTTATTGGTTACCGATTTAATGGTATTTTCGATTAAAAAGATATTTATAAGAAAAAAATTGAGCGATCTGTAATCTCGATAAATATTAGTTTTAGATAAAAAAGTTTCGAATAAAAAAGTTAGGATATTTAATAATTTGAAAAGTTTTATTGTGGGACGCATAGGGTAAAAAATATATGGTTAAACATGTATTTATTGGATAAATGTTTTTTTATTACTTACAATGTACGAAGCATACTTCCACATCGGCCCCGATTGATCCCAAGTATTTCAACCATAATTTTTGTTTTATTGACAATCTGTCATTTTCGCCTTTGACTTCAATGAATTTACACTAAAAAAAAAACTAAAGAATAGTGCCGTAACTAATTGATTTTTGAAAAATATATTTATACCTTGTGTTCCTTTTCGTTCCAAACGAACAAATCCGGTAACCCGCTCCTGTACTGCCTGACATCTTTCACCAATCTCTCGAATATCATGGCCAACACCTTCCTGCCGATACATCTGACGACGGTTTCCAGAAACTCTAGATCCACGATCGATTTGTTGATTTGACAGAAGCTGTTAACGTGACCGTACAATCTCCAATGCTGCTTAACAAAACGCAACACCGCCTCGTCCGACCAATTTCCGCCGATATCCTTTAATCTCTGATCGATGGACTCTTTTCGGTGCTCGTAGAAATACGGCGTGAAAAAATCCAACGGGCACAATTGGTATTTCGACAGAAAAATACCGGGTACGACCGTCTCCGATTCGTAGACAATGTCCCAGAAAAAGAGAGCGAAAACGGCGTTGATGATGGCGCCCTCGCAATGGACGCCGCTCGTGTATCCGGCCTCGTTGCAGTAATGGTCCAACGCAATGTCTTCGACAGATTGGTAGGTTTTGTTTCCTTCGGAATCCGTGATTACATAGTCGCGCTTGCGGCCCGACACGTTCCTAGAAAAACAGCAAAAATGTATATAAATTTGCTGTTTCCAAGACTATACCAACCTCCCCACCAACACTCCTCAGAAACCTCCCCAGCAACCTTTTCACAACCCTCCCCAGCAATCTTCTCACAACCCAGCACTAACCCCGAAAAGACTATTTTAAGTCCCAAAGGGTCGCGATCTCCATGTTCTTAAATAACTAAAAATTTTGGCAAATTTGTGTGTTATAGCCTACTCCTGTAGACACATTTTAACAGTTCAGTTTTCACCAACCCTCTCTGATAATCTTCTCACAACTCTCCCCATTTATCTTCTCACAACTCTTCTCACAATCCTATCCACCATCCTTCTCATAACCCTCACCACAAGCTCCAAGGGCAACTTTAAATTCTCGACGGGTCACAGTAGCGACGTTTCTAAAAATATAAAATTATTGGCAAAGGTATTTGTTATACCCCGCTCGTGTGTATAAATTATAACCATTGGGGTTGGTCGCACCCCAACTGTGATAGTGTTAGAAATGATTTCTTTAAAACCATTATTTTTAGATGCAGTTGTCATACCTAATTTAAAAATTAGAAAAGTATTGTTACCTGATGAGATTTGTTACAACTCACTTGTGTAATCTAGTCTATAATTAAAAAAAAAAAATGTATGCCCCAAAAGTGTAATAAATCCAAACAAATTTCATAGAAACCAGTTTAGCTCGGCCGGGTTCTCAGCGGCCAACTGAGCACGTCTCCGGGTGGTGGATAGGAGAACGGCCAAGTTTTCCTTGGTTAGTGGTAGACATAAGTAGAGTGAGAGAGCCTAAAAATCCTCAAAATCTTTTGCAAAGGCTACCGCCGCCAACCAACTCCCCCAATCTAAGGATGAATTGTCGCAAGGGCAGGTGCGGCAGCAAACGCGCCCCTGAGGGAACCTGGCGACACCCTCTTGTATCTAGCCTTGCCGGCGTATGCGGGGCTTTGCGTCGGTCGACCTTTTCTTCCCTAGCTACTCATGAGAGTAATATAGATTCAATAACACAACAACCCAAAGGCTGGATGTCAACGCTCACCTCCATCAAAGGACACTGGACAACAAAGTCCAACTCCGGCGCAAGAGGCTGGCCAGTGACAATCACCTCCAAAAAAGGAGGTTGGACGCCAACACTCACCTCCTGCAACGGAGAATGGACAACAAAGTTCAGCTCCCGCACAGAAGGCTGGACAGCGACGCTCACCTCCAAAAAAGGAGGATGGACACAGTAGTTCACCTCCAACTAACAGTGAGGCAAGAGTCTCTGGGTCTGAAGCAAAGAAGAGGAAGAGAGAGATAAGCTGCAGACAGGCAGTGCTACGGCAACCGCCACCCTCAGCAAATGCCCTCACTCCAAACCAAACAAAAACGGCTTAATCAATTCCTTAGGAAGCGACGCTAGTTCTGCCTCCACAAGAGGCCAGGAACACGACGTAACTAGGGACAAGCACCTCTTCCAAGGTAACGCCCCGGACGGGTAAAAACCCAGACAGGACCTCAAAGTTCTGTCTGGAATAGGCAACAAGGATGCAACTACGAGCCACCTGAAAGTAGCGATAATAGACGAGGATAACATAACCTTTACGGTAAGATAACTACCGAAAAAGAAATCCTTGTTAAAGACACTGATGGGAGAGCTGAACAAAACAATTTTGCCACCTCCTGCAGCAAAACTAAGCTATCCAAATTTAGGTCTTGGACGCACTCTGGTGAAATCATCAGAGTAACGTGCGACGATGACCTGACGTTGGAATGGCTAAAAACCAAGATATCAACCTTAGAAACATGGGAAGGAGCAACACTCGCTGTTGTAAGGATGGACGAGCTGAGGTGACTTGAAATGCAAAACCTAAACTTGCATATGGCGAAATGGTGCACCTTCCACCATGAAACCAAAAAAGACCTCAAGGGCCATCTCTTCGTCTTCGGCATGGAAACCCCAAAGGCCAAACAGGGAATTTTGAGAACATACTCTGCCAAAGAACGCAAGTAGAACCTGATGTAGGATCTGGTGAGGCGAGAAGTCGTTTTTGGCAGGAGACGCTCGATATGCTCCCGCAACTTCAAGCGAGTATCGGCCGATATAAGAGAAGCAGCTGTTGGCGACGTTGTCAATTACATTAAATCTGTAGGCTGGCTTGCAAACTAGGGGGTGGGGTTATTATCAATATTTGTCATAGGTCAGTCGAGTAAACGAATTTTACACATCGGGGTTTGTTGCACCCCAACTGTGTCGCAGTCGCTAATTTCTTTAAAAAACATGTTTAGATGTCGTCATACCTGATTTAAAAATTACAAAAGTATTGTTACCTAATGAGATTTTTTAGAGATCACGCAAGTGACCAAGTCGATAATTAGAAAATAATCTTGTAATACCCCAATAGTATAAGTAAGTGCGAAAAATTTCATATAAACCAAGTTTTCTCACCGAGGTTTATCTGACACAAATTAACGAATTAGCGCAAATACGCTATCGTTAATCGGGCGTATACAATTCACTAGTATTTTTACCATACCACCAGTTTTTTAATTGATGTTTATTAAAACCCAATTTTTTCTGTTTGCATTTATCAAACCCCACGTATACAAACATTTCCACAAGTTTAAAATTATTATCAATGTTTGTCATATCCTAGACGAGTAAACGGATTTTAAAAATTAGGGGTTTGTCGCCCCCCAAGTGTGTAATAGTGTCAATTATTTCTTTAAAAACGTATTATAAAGTCGATAATTTAAAAAACGAGATGTGATACCCCAACGGTGTAATAAATGCCACAAATTCCATAGAAACCAATTGTTTTCGGTAGGATTTGTCAGACTGAAATTAACGAATTGGAGTGTTGAACCTTATAAAATAGCCATTAATCAGGCTTATCACAATTCGCTAGTAATGTCTTAAATTAAAAAACTTTTGCCGTTGGGGTTTATTACACCCCAATCTTTATGGGACTTATCTTACCCCATTTATAAAATAGTAATTTCCCAAATTGACCAGATGGAAGCTAAACTGGTCTAAATAGCAAAACATTTTAGAGAAAAGGAATGTTTAAATTTGTGTCAAAGCTTAAGTGACATAATGAAGTTGTCTTTATGTTATAACATATATCTCTTTAGCACTGCTGGCTGAATATAAACATGTCATTACCTCTATTGCAATGAAAATGTAACTTGGACCAGTTTAGCTTCAACATAGCTAATTTTAACCATTGGGGTATGTCATACCCCAACAGTGTAATAGTGTCGGAAATTTCTTTAAATTCGTTATTTTAAGACGTCGTTGCTATACCAGATTTTAAAATTACTAAAGTAGTGTTACCTAATGAGACTTTTTAGAGATCATTCGGATGACCCAACAGTACAAGTGCAACAAATTTTATGTAAAGAAATTTTTCTCAATAGGGTTTGTCAGACCCAAATTAACGAGTCAGATTGTAAAAACTTATTAAATTATGAATCGATCTTATTACAATTCACTAGTATTGTGCCTATATTAACACATTTTCGTTGGGGTTTATTACACCCAGACTGTTTGGTTGGGATTTATCAAACCCCACTCACACAATAGGTATTTCCATAATTTTAAAATTATCAATGTTTGTCATGTTTACTCGACAGCGGAGTAAACATTGGGGTCTGTCGTACCCCAACTGTGTAAGTGTCAATAATTTATTTAAAAGCGTTGTTATCATGTCGATAATTTAAAAATGAGATGTGATACCTCAACGGTATAAATCCAACAAATGTTATAAAAACTAATTGTTCTCAGCAATGTTTATCAGACCCGAATTAATGAATATTACATTCAAACTTATAAAATTATCATTAAGTGTGCTTATTAGACTTCGCTAGTATCTATAATAACAAAAGTTATGCCGTTGGGGTTTATTACACCCCAATTTTTTTAGGGTTTATCAAAACCCACTTATAGAATAGGCATTTCCAAGTTTAAAATTATCACAGTAATACCCCAGTCGGGTACACGAATTTTAACCATTGGGGTTTGTCATACCCCTATTTTGTATGGGGTATGTAATTATACAAAGTTTGACATTGGGGTTTATTATACCCCATATCCGGTTTTAACAAACCCCACTTGTGAAATAGTGATTCCCAATTATTTAGTAGTACCCAACTTTTGCCGTTGAGGTGTATAATAGTCCGGTTTTTTCTGAGATTTACCGAACCCAAGTATATAAGTAATTTTCTGAATTATAAAATGATTTAAAATACTGTTTGTCCTACCCTACACGATAAAACAAATTTTACTCATTGGGGTTTGGCTTACCCCGACTATGTAACAATGGAAAATTGCTTTCCTTAATCGGAGTTTGAATGCATTAAAAACTGGAAAAATTATCCTTTATCCCCCTTATTACTATTTACTAGTACAAGCTTGTAATTACAAAACTTTTGTTCTTGGGGTTTATTACACCTTTTTTCTACTAGGGTTTAATTTACTCCATTTATAAAAGACATTTTCAAGAGTTTAAAATGATAGTTAATGATGTTTGTCATACCCCAGTCGTTTAAAAGAAAATTAACCATTGGGGTTTGTCATACCTCAAACTACTTAACAACGATAAACTTACCCTCTCATAGCTTGGGCGTCGATCATATTGCTGGGAAAATCGTTTTCCTTAATGGGAATCGGAAGTATTTCGATGAGATTGTCATGCTGAAGTTGATTGATCCGGTTTTTCATAAACTCAGCTCGCTCGACTAAAGATTGAACATCGATATCGCTTAAAAGTTCCCTTTCGTCTCTAAAAGCTGCGAGAAGCAAATTTCCAGCGTGCTCGCGGTTTTTCAAGTTGTTGTGAATTCTGATCAATAAGATGTACCAACTCCCTAACCGACGCGAGTTAGGATATCGTCCCAATAAATATTCCAGCCATTCTTTCGCGTCCTTGGTGTATACGGTTAGTAATTTTTCGGATATGTCAGTCAGACATTTGACGTAAACTCGTTCAGCAGTGAACCGTTTCAAATGCGGAGTGTCCTTGTACCTTTCTATGTCCTCGTTGCTAAAAAATTATAACACTGAAATTATCAAATCGCGAAACTAGAAGAAATGCTTACTCTTGAGGTATGGCTTTCAGTTTGTCAAAAATCTTCATACCCATCGCTTTTAAGGAAATTTTTTTATTTGTACACTCGTCCATTTCAAGTCGTAAAGCACGTGCTTCCATGTAGCTAAAAACATTTTATGTACTAGAAAAAACATTTTATATAGCAATAAAAATGATGACTATTATACCCCAATCGTGTAAAGGAATTTTAACCATTGATGTTTGGGTCTATAATTACATAACTTTAGCCGTTGGGGTTCATTACAATCCTATTTTTACAGATTTATTTTATTTTTTCTATGTTTAATTTGAATACTCTGTATGTTGTTTTTGGTTGACTGGATTGTAAAAAATATATGAAAGTCAGTGTCATAAATAAAAAAATTCAGATTTGACATCACTATTATTTTTGGTTCTTCGACTCGGAATTTATACATTCTATTCTAGGTAAGACCACAAGAACATTGGTTCTTCGACCCGGGATTTATACATTTTATTCTAGGTAAGACCATAAGAACATTGGTCCTTCGAGTAAACAGTATCAACTGTGGAACTAAGCGGTGCAAAATCTACATCAAAGCAACTGGACAATCAAACTTTGCATGCAGACAGCAGCAATCATGATTACAGTAACCCAGATGTGTTGCTCAGGCCATCAGCTTCTCATGCAGACAGTAAGAGGAGTAGTGTAACCGTGAGATCAAAGACCAGCAAGACTTCTAGAAATACTATAGAATTGGAAGCAAGAATAAAGAAGGCTGAAATAGAACAAGAAATTCTTAAGAAACAGGAAGAAGTTCTTAAGAAACAACAAGAAATTCTAAAGAAACAGCAGGAACTGTTGGATCTACAATTAGCATTAAGATTATCTCGACTGGAAGAAGTAAATTCAGACACGCAGGAAAATAACGGCAAGTCAAGAGAGTCAATGGTAAGTGAACATCCCAATATTAATAAATGGATTGAAGGGGATATGCCATGGAATTTAGATAATCCCTTTAAACCCAAGATTACTCACGAACCTCATATTTCTCAGGATTCAATTAAAATTAACGATGAGTCAAGTGATCGTGTAACTAAACTACTTTCAAGGCAGAGTATTGCAAAATATTTACCTATTTTTAGCGGCGATCTTATCGAATGGCCTAATTTTATATATCAGTTTAAAAATTCAACTAAAATTTGTGATTTTCCGATGCTGAAAATCAATGTAGGCTTCAAAAACGTTTAAAAGGAAACGCAAAGAAAATAGTACAGTCTATGTTAATTTTGCCACAGAATGTAGACAAAGTTATTTCCCGCTTAGAAAAACGTTTTGGTCGCCCGGAACATATAATTTTGTTGTTACTTGATCAAATTAAAAAATTATCCAATGTTAGAGAAGACAAATTAGACATGCTTGTTAAATTTTCTGATGAGGTAAAAAATTTGGTAGCTACGATTGAAGCTTTAAAAGAAGATGACATTTGAGAAATCCCATTTTGTTGCGTGAATTAATGAATAAGCTCCCAAATTCCTATAAACTTGCTTGGGTAGAACATAGTTCTAATATTCCAAAATCAAGCATCAACTTAGTTGAGTTTTCTTTATGGTTAGACCGTAAAGCAGGCGCTGCATGTTAAATTCAACTTCCTATTTATGAAAAAAATTTTAACTCAGACAATGTTAAAACTAATTTTAAAAATACTAAAAAAGATGTCACTTTGGTTACCAAGGATTCCAATTTAAAATGTAGATGTTGCCAAGATACTCATTATTTAAACTTATGCCCTACATTTAAGGCTTTTTCAGTAGACGGTAGATGGAACTTTGTTTCAACACATAAATTGTGTTTCTCTTGCTTGTTTCCATTTCATAATACTAAAATTTGTAAAAGAAAAATGTGTTCAATTGATGGCTGCAGACGTTATCATAATCGACTTTTACATCCAAATTCTGTTGAAAATAACCAAAACAATCCTAGTGGCAGTTTTCAAACTACTTCTAATCCAGTAGCTGTTAAAAATAATTATCATATTTTAAATAACAAAGTTTTGTTAAAGATTTTACCCGTTACCATTTTTAATGGACATATTTCATCAAATACTTATGCTTTGTTAGACGATGCATCAACTGTGACTTTAATCGACGCAGAACTAGCTGACAAACTGAAAACTGACGGACCACAACAATCACTATGTCTACAGTGGACAAGTAGTCAAGTGAATGTACAGGATGATTCAAAAGTAGTTAACTTTAGAATAAACTCTGGTGTGGCTCATGAAAAATCTTATTATTTAAGACATGTACGGACCATTAAAAATGTATCATTACCTTATCATACTATTGACATGGATAATTTAAGACAGAAGTATCCATACGTAGATAATAAGATCTCCTCCATTACAAATGCCGAACCTAGAATTCTTATTGGTCAGGATAATTGGCCTCTTTTAGAGACTCGCCGAACTATTTATGGACCTTGGAATGGGCCAGTTCTTTCAAAGACTTTGCTTGGATGGGAAATCCATGGCAATTGCGATATTAAATTATGCAAAGAACTTAAACATTTTGTTAATTTTATTGACTCAAAAGTCAAAGACGACTTAGATCTACTACATGATCTTGTAAAAGATCAATGGAAACAAGAAACTTTTGATTGCCAAGCTAACAGTATGTCCAAAGAAGATATCAGGGCCCAAGAAATTCTCGACAGGACTTTAAGGAGAATAGGGGATAAGTTTGAAGTTGGACTACTATGGAAAAACGACAATGTAATTTTACCTGAGAGTAAGGACATGGCTATGAAAAGACTGCTATGTACCGAAAAAAAAATTAAGATAAGAATTTTGAATTAAACTATGGTGAAAAAATAAAACACATGGAAAATAAGGGCTATGTTAGCGAGGAGATTATAAATTTGCTGCACAGATGGAAACCCAGACAACACACCAAATCTCAGAGATATCCACAGAATATCTTTTGTGGATATCCAATATATCCACAGGATATCAGAAATATTCCGTGGATCTAATATGGATATCCAAATGTCCGTCTATATCCAGAATGTAGAAGATATCCTAATGGATATCCAGCAAAATATCTAATGGGTATCTTCCAGAAAATACAAGAAATCCCAGAGATATCCACAGAATATATTTTGTGGATATTCAATATATCCAATATGGATATCCAACCAAATGTCCGTCTATATCCCAGGATATAGAAGATATTCGGATATTCAGCAACATATTTTATCTTTAGTAGAGGTTCATAAGTAACCAATGATTATTGAATAACGTCGAAAGAAAATAGCAGAGAAAACATATTTTCAACACTCAAAAGTCAAAATATTTTCAACACTCTACCTTTGATTTTGCCCACTAAGGAGAAAGTCCGCCTTATTAGGACTCTTCAGTAATAAATGGAAATTCTCGACTCCTGTCTCTAATGGAGTCTGAATAAAACAAAAATTTCGATCGAACTCAATTACGGCGGGTCAAGCATGAGTAGATGCGAAAGTGGCATCGCCATCTATACTTAGTAAGCAAAATCAAATAACATCTAGTGGATATCCACGATGGTTTGCGTTCGCGCCTAGACTTTGATATATTTAGTGGATGTCCATGGGATATTGAATAAACCTTAAAAAAATTAATTTTAAATATCTGAACGGTACTATTAGCCACAATGGAGAGCACAATGGAGAGCACAATGGCGTCATTTTTTAATAATTTGCTATTTAATTACTATTATTTATGGACATTTGCATGTCTATAAATTACATATCATGGATATAAAATAGATATCCACCATGGACTGGACATTCAGTGCATATTGGGATGTGCAGTAGATATCCAACGGATTTGGTGTGCTGTCTGGTAATGTTCACAAACATTTTTGGAAAAGATGGCTGCGAGAATATCTTCCTTTCATGGTTAAACGAAATAAATGATTTCCAGATAAAAAATGTATTCAGCTGGGAGATATAGTCCTAATTGTAGATTCCAACAATGCTAGGAACCTTTGGCCAATAGGGAAAGTTGTGAAACTTTATCCAGCCAAAGACGGAAAAGTAAGAGTAGTCGATGCTAATGGGAATCAATTACGACGTCCTGTGAACAAATTATGCATTCTGGATTTGAGAAGAAAAGAAGAGGAAAACGACCAGGCAGAAGGCATTAGACAGAGACAAATGAAGTAGTAATTGTTCGCAGAATCAATTACTAGGGGGGAGATTTGTTACAGATTTATTTTTTCTATGTTTAATTTGAATACTTTGTATGTCATTTTTGGTTGACTCGATTGTAAAAAATATATGAAAGTCAGTGTCATAAATAAAAAAATTCAGATTTGACATCACTATTATTTTTGGTTCTTCGACCCGGGATTTATACATTTTATTCTAGGTAAGACCACAAGAACACCTATTTTTACTTTCCTATCTGTATACAGATATAAGGAAAGTATAGGAATCATGATTTTTTTCGACCTCGAGTTTTCGACGGATTTTTACGTTTTGAGGTCCCCTGAATCCGTTTTGACTATTTTCGCGATGATGTCTGTGTGTGTGTGTGTGTGTGTGTGTGTGTGTGTGTGTGTGTGTGTGTGTGTGTGTGTGTGTGTGTGTGTGTGTCTGTGTGTGTGTGTGTGTGTGTGTGTGTGTGTGTGTGTGTGTGTGTGTGTGTGTGTGTGTGTGTGTGTGTGTGTGTGTGTGTGTGTGTGTGTGTGTGTGTGTGTGTGTGTGTGTGTGTGTGTGTGTGTGTGTGTGTGTGTGTGTGTGTGTGTGTGTGTGTGTGTGTGTGTGTGTGTGTGTGTGTGTGTCTGTATAACGCATAACTCATGAACCGATACACGGAAAAACACCAAATTTTAAACTTAAGCTTTATTCCAGCGTCTAATGAGCTGATTAGATTTTGGGCAGAGTCGGAACATCTGGGGGGGTACTTTATAGGTGGTCATTTTTATATTTTATGGAATATATCTGTTATTTACGTTTGGGGAAAAAAATTCTTTAAATAAAAATTACTTCTTATTTTATTATCTATAATTTTTGTCATTTACAAAATTTTCCTAAAATGGTCCGTATTCGAGAAATTTGACAAAATGTAAAAAAATATTTTTTTTTATAAAAATTGTTCAAACAAAAGTTGTTTGTAATATAATTCTCTATAATTTTTGTCCCATAGATAATTTCTCTAAAATGGACCGTATTCGAGATATTTGAGAAAATGTGTAAATTTCGAAATTTGAAGAAAACTCAAAAACGGATAAAGAAAAAATCAATAAATTTTAAACTTAAGTTTTATTTCGGCCTGACGTGAAATGATTAGATTTTGGACAAAGTCGGAACATCTGGGGGGGTACTTTATGGGAGGCCGTTTATATATTTTATGGAATATATCTGTTATTTATGTTTGGAGAAGAAAATTGTTCAAATAAAAGTTACTTCTAATATTATTATCTATAATTTTTGCCTTATGTAAAAATTTCCTGAAATGGTCCGTATTCGAGAAATTTGACAAAATGTGCAAAATTCTGATTTTTATGAAAATTGTTGAAATAAAAGTTGTTTGCGATATCGATCTCTATAATATTTGTTCATCCATGATTTTTTTTAAATGGACCGTAATGGCAAAATTGTAGGAAAAGTGCTTAATTTAAATTTTTCAGTATTTTCATTTTCAATGAATATCTATAGAAAAATGTTTCGCGGTAGATGTATGTGGACAATGTATATATATTTAGTTTATCCTCTAAACATTTATAGAGATGCTGCAATAGGTTGTACACAATAAACGGAAAAAGCCTGTAATAACTAGATAGGAAAGTCATGTGTTGGACACATCAGATTTTTTATATAGAATTGAGACTGGACGAAACTACAAAAAATTACCATTAAACATAAGCAAAATCGTTTCAGTAACATAGCCTTTATGACTAAAATGTCAATTTGTTGGTCTTCATAGGAGGAAAATGAATTTGCAGTCGCCTGTAGCTGTTTATCCTTGATTAGTTTTTCAAATACTATGGCTTTTCCAACCCCAAATATTCTGAAGGTTGAATAAGCAAGAGCATGTAAAAACAAAATGGTTCAAATATAACTACCTGTGAAGGATTGAATTCCAAGAAAATCATAAACAGGATTGGTGAACAAGCAAGAAGGTCCTTGAGCATCGCCTGGTAACTATTCATTTCTAGATAACAGAATTGAATGTAAAAATTAACATTAAAAGAGTCAGTGAAGTTTATTTTGGTATCATAAGGAAAAGAAAAGAAACTCCTATAGCAATGCATCAGGAAAATATAAGGTAAAATAAAAACTTTAAAGACAAATAAATGAAAAAAAAAAAATGAATGTTACTGAAAGTAATGATACAGGAAATAATGTGTTATCTCTTAAGAAAAACTAATATAAATACAACCATAGACTAAAAAGAACATAGATGATGTGCAGCCATTAAACACGAAGTTCAAGGAGCTGATAAAAGCGATAGGAGAGCCTAATGAAGACCTAAGTAATTGCTAATCATGACCAAACAATATACATCCAAAATGAGAAATTATAAATTTTGGGTTTCTGATTTGAACGTTTTTGTAGACTTCACTATAAAACTTAATGATATATCTGTAATTTGCTTCACATCGACATCACAGCTCGGTAGTTCAGGAAACACGCGTCGACCAAAAATAGTGTGATCAATTTAGTCTTGGTTCGTTCAAGAACAGTTTTTTGCAGAAGTTGTATCATATTATTTTTATGTGTCTGTACATGGAATTCTATAAAGTTTGTTTTAAAATAATCTAAAATTTCTTGTCTTATTGATTTTATAGATCATTCATTATAAACGATTATAAATAGGGAGGTGAATAGGTAAATATTGAAATAAAAAGAAAAAACAGCTAAAAAACTAAGTGAGTAAAAATTAAAACTACACGAGACACGAGTAAGAACGGGAAGCAGAGAACATCGAATATTATAAAATTTCGTTTACTACAAAACTTTAATTTTCAAATTCGTTGACGTTTACTTTTGTTGCCGTTCAGAAATTTTGGGTCAATGAGAAATACTCCAGAGTAACGGGTAAACAATCTAAGAAAATTAGTCTACTCCCCTGTAAAATCATCTGAATGCGCTCTTAAGGTTGGATAAAATGTGTTAACAAAAACGTCCTTGACCATCGACAGGTCAAAATTTAAATGATAGCGATTCGTTTTTGATAATAATATTGTTAAGCAAAAACTATTTTATGTTTTAATTATTTGAAAAACAAATATAATACAGTTACTACACTTCTTCTGTATTGCATGGACTGCTGTGGGATAAGCAGAGTTTATAATTTAAGATATCTGTAAAATTCATGTCACCAACTGTAACAACAGTCACCGTTCTTTGGAACAGCAATGGTAGATATATGTCAATGTTTTTTCTGCATTTGTAACATTCAAAAACATTATATTTTGGTCGAATGTTGGAAATTAAACATCTGCTGAGTTAAATATCACTTCAATGGCTTCTGAAGCAATTTTGCCAAAGTCAAATCATAATTTAAAGTAGATGAAATATGGGGTTCTAGACCACTTTTGTAATATAACCTCAAAAACACAACACGTCTATCGAGTTCTTGTGTTCGACGGTTAGAAGGACATTGAAGAAGTCTCTAGATGCACAAAGATGAAGAAGAGGATCTGAATGACTCATGTAATAGAAGCTAAAGGAGTGATACAGGAACATATTTGGTTGGAAGAAACGTTGAAGAAGCCTTTGGAGACTTAAAAATGAAGAAGATGCGCCGAATTAGTGATGTAGGACTATGGGGGAGACGCTGAAGAAGCCACTGTAGGCTCGAAGAAAAAGAGAAGCTAAAGGAGTGACAGGATCATCTTCAGTTGGAGGAGACATTGAAAAAGCCTCTGGATACTTAAAAACAAAGAATTATTGGTCCGCTATTATCTCCTTTATGATTAGATCGTTAAATTCTATTACCTGTTAAATTCTGACTGCGAATAAAACACCGGATACTCCGTAACATCGTACTCAGGAAAAAGGATGTTGTCGTGCATCATCTGTTTAAAAAACTGATCGATATCGTCCATATGAGGATTGGTGAACGTGGCTAATATGTAGACGCGATTGAAGGAATTTTTGAAATCATCTTTTATCTTCACGACGTGCTTGCCCAAATTTTTTATGATTTCAAGTCTCACCAAGTCTTCTGTACTGCTCGTTATAGTCAGTAACGTTCGCGTTCTACACGCTTTCAATATTTGCTCGATGAGATCTTCTTTTTTATTGGCCGCCCTAGTTGATTTAGTAGGCGACCTGATACGCAGCGCTATGCAAATTTTTATAATGTCTGGTTTACTGAGATGTTCAAGGAGGACTTTTAAATTCTCCTTTTTGTAATCTAAAAAATAAAGACGTGATTGGACCAGAATATTTAAAAAAATTATGTTATTTGTTGCAGTTTTTAGATATAGTACCCAAAAATCATAAAAAAAAAATAAAAAATAAAAATAAAATCGGACAACTGCTGAATTTTCAAGCAGATTAGGCATACATATAGGATGTTATACTAAGACAATTCATAAACGTTCTTAATCCTAAATAAAAAAAGGCAAAAATTAAATAAATAAAAATGAATTTACAAAAAAAATAAAATCTAAGAAAAATGTTGTTCATACAGTTGCTGTCGAATTTTCAAACAGATTAGACATTAACATACGCAATTACTATCGATCTAAGTAAACAATTGGTTCATATTTTTAATCAAGAATGAAACATAATTAAAAAAAAAAACAAAATAAAAAAATTTCTTATATGCGTTTTTATAACTGCTGTCAAAGTTTCAAGCATATTAGGCAAAATCATGTAGTTACTATGGATCTAAGTATTATTGATAAAAAAAATTAAAAATATATTTTTTTTTGTAATAGGCTCTATTGTTTTTACAACTACTGTAAATGTTCAAGCATATATGAAATTATTTTTATTGTTTTAGTTTTTAAATGTTTTTAAATGTTTTTAAATGTTTTTAAATGTTTTTAAATGTTTTTAAATGTTTTTAAATGTTTTTAAATGTTTTTAAATGTTTTTAAATGTTTTTAAATGTTTTTAAATGTTTTTAAATGTTTTTAAATGTTTTTAAATGTTTTTAAATGTTTTTAAATGTTTTTAAATGTTTTTAAATGTTTTTAAATGTTTTTAAATGTCTTTAAATGTTTTTAAATGTTGTAAATGTTGTAAATGTTTTTAAATGTTTTTAAATGTTTTTAAATGTTTTTAAATGTTTTTAAATGTTTTTAAATGTTTTTAAATGTTTTTAAATGTTTTTAAATGTTTTTAAATGTTTTTAAATGTTTTTAAATGTTTTTAAATGTTTTTAAATGTTTTTAAATGTTTTTAAATGTTTTTAAATGTTTTTAAATGTTTTTAAATGTTTTTAAATGTTTTTAAATGTTTTTAAATGTTTTTAAATGTTTTTAAATGTTTTTAAATGTTTTTAAATGTTTTTAAATGTTTTTAAATGTTTTTAAATGTTTTTAAATGTTTTTAAATGTTTTTAAATGTTTTTAAATGTTTTTAAATGTTTTTAAATGTTTTTAAATGTTTTTAAATGTTTTTAAATGTTTTTAAATGTTTTTAAATGTTTTTAAATGTTTTTAAATGTTTTTAAATGTTTTTAAATGTTTTTAAATGTTTTTAAATGTTTTTAAATGTTTTTAAATGTTTTTAAATGTTTTTAAATGTCTTTAAATGTCTTTAAATGTCTTTAAATGTTTTTAAATGTTTTTAAATGTTTTTAAATGTTTTTAAATGTTTTTAAATGTTGTAAATGTTTTTAAATGTTTTTAAATGTTTTTAAATGTTTTTAAATGTTTTTAAATGTTTTTAAATGTTTTTAAATGTTTTTAAATGTTTTTAAATGTTTTTAAATGTTTTTAAATGTTTTTAAATGTTTTTAAATGTTTTTAAATGTTTTTAAATGTTTTTAAATGTTTTTAAATGTTTTTAAATGTTTTTAAATGTTTTTAAATGTTTTTAAATGTTTTTAAATGTTTTTAAATGTTTTTAAATGTTTTTAAATGTTTTTAAATGTTTTTAAATGTTTTTAAATGTTTTTAAATGTTTTTAAATGTTTTTAAATGTTTTTAAATGTTTTTAAATGTTTTTAAATGTTTTTAAATGTTTTTAAATGTTTTTAAATGTTTTTAAATGTTTTTAAATGTTTTTAAATGTTTTTAAATGTTTTTAAATGTTTTTAAATGTTTTTAAATGTTTTTAAATGTTTTTAAATGTTTTTAAATGTTTTTAAATGTTTTTAAATGTTTTTAAATGTTTTTAAATGTTTTTAAATGTTTTTAAATGTTTTTAAATGTTTTTAAATGTTTTTAAATGTTTTTAAATGTTTTTAAATGTTTTTAAATGTTTTTAAATGTTTTTAAATGTTTTTAAATGTTTTTAAATGTTTTTAAATGTTTTTAAATGTTTTTAAATGTTTTTAAATGTTTTTAAATGTTTTTAAATGTTTTTAAATGTTTTTAAATGTTTTTAAATGTTTTTAAATGTTTTTAAATGTTTTTAAATGTTTTTAAATGTTTTTAAATGTTTTTAAATGTTTTTAAATGTTTTTAAATGTTTTTAAATGTTTTTTAAATGTTTTAAATGTTTTTAAATGTTGTAAATGTTTTTAAATGTTTTTAAATGTTTTTAAATGTTTTTAAATGTTTTTAAATGTTTTTAAATGTTTTTAAATGTTTTTAAATGTTTTTAAATGTTTTTAAATGTTTTTAAATGTTTTTAAATGTTTTTAAATGTTTTTAAATGTTTTTAAATGTTTTTAAATGTTTTTAAATGTTTTTAAATGTTTTTAAATGTTTTTAAATGTTTTTAAATGTTTTTAAATGTTTTTAAATGTTTTTAAATGTTTTTAAATGTTTTTAAATGTTTTTAAATGTTTTTAAATGTTTTTAAATGTTTTTAAATGTTTTTAAATGTTTTTAAATGTTTTTAAATGTTTTTAAATGTTTTTAAATGTTTTTAAATGTTTTTAAATGTTTTTAAATGTTTTTAAATGTTTTTAAATGTTTTTAAATGTTTTTAAATGTTTTTAAATGTTTTTAAATGTTTTTAAATGTTTTTAAATGTTTTTAAATGTTTTTAAATGTTTTTAAATGTTTTTAAATGTTTTTAAATGTTTTTAAATGTTTTTAAATGTTTTTAAATGTTTTTAAATGTTTTTAAATGTTTTTAAATGTTTTTAAATGTTTTTAAATGTTTTTAAATGTTTTTTAAATGTTTTTAAATGTTTTTAAATGTTTTTAAATGTTTTTAAATGTTTTTAAATGTTTTTTAAATGTTTTTAAATGTTTTTAAATGTTTTTAAATGTTTTTAAATGTTTTTAAATGTTTTTAAATGTTTTTAAATGTTTTTAAATGTTTTTAAATGTTTTTAAATGTTTTTAAATGTTTTTTAAATGTTTTTAAATGTTTTTAAATGTTTTTAAATGTTTTTAAATGTTTTTAAATGTTTTTTAAATGTTTTAAATGTTTTTAAATGTTTTTAAATGTTTTTAAATGTTTTTAAATGTTTTTAAATGTTTTTAAATGTTTTTAAATGTTTTTAAATGTTTTTAAATGTTTTTAAATGTTTTTAAAATGTTTTTAAATGTTTTTAAATGTTTTTTAAATGTTTTTAAATGTTTTTAAATGTTTTTAAATGTTTTTTAAATGTTTTTAAATGTTTTTAAATGTTTTTAAATGTTTTTAAATGTTTTTAAATGTTTTTAAATGTTTTTAAATGTTTTTAAATGTTTTTAAATGTTTTTAAATGTTTTAAATGTTTTTAAATGTTTTTAAATGTTTTTAAATGTTTTTAAATGTTTTTAAATGTTTTTAAATGTTTTTAAATGTTTTTAAATGTTTTTAAATGTTTTTAAATGTTTTTAAATGTTTTTAAATGTTTTTAAATGTTTTTAAATGTTTTTTAAATGTTTTTAAATGTTTTTAAATGTTTTTAAATGTTTTTAAATGTTTTTAAATGTTTTTTAAATGTTTTTAAATGTTTTTAAATGTTTTTAAATGTTTTTAAATGTTTTTAAATGTTTTTAAATGTTTTTAAATGTTTTTAAATGTTTTTAAATGTTTTTAAATGTTTTTAAATGTTTTTAAATGTTTTTAAATGTTTTTAAATGTTTTTAAATGTTTTTAAATGTTTTTAAATGTTTTTAAATGTTTTTAAATGTTTTTAAATGTTTTTAAATGTTTTTAAATGTTTTTAAATGTTTTTAAATGTTTTTAAATGTTTTTAAATGTTTTTAAATGTTTTTAAATGTTTTTAAATGTTTTTAAATGTTTTTAAATGTTTTTAAATGTTTTTAAATGTTTTTAAATGTTTTTAAATGTTTTTAAATGTTTTTAAATGTTTTTAAATGTTTTTAAATGTTTTTTAAATGTTTTTAAATGTTTTTTAAACGTTTTTAAACGTTTTTAAACGTTTTTAAACGTTTTTAAACGTTTTTAAACGTTTTTAAATGTTTTTAAATGTTTTTAAATGTTTTTAAATGTTTTTAAATGTTTTTTAAATGTTTTTAAATGTTTTTAAATGTTTTTAAATGTTTTTAAATGTTTTTAAATTTTTTTAAATGTTTTTAAATGTTTTTAAATGTTTTTAAATGTTTTTAAATGTTTTTAAATGTTTTTAAATGTTTTTTAAATGTTTTTAAATGTTTTTAAATGTTTTTAAATGTTTTTAAATGTTTTTAAATGTTTTTAAATGTTTTTAAATGTTTTTAAATGTTTTTAAATGTTTTTAAATGTTTTTAAATGTTTTTAAATGTTTTTAAATGTTTTTAAATGTTTTTAAATGTTTTTAAATGTTTTTAAATGTTTTTAAATGTTTTTAAATGTTTTTAAATGTTTTTTAAATGTTTTTAAATGTTTTTAAATGTTTTTAAATTTTTTTAAATTTTTTTAAATGTTTTTAAATTTTTTTAAATGTTTTTAAATGTTTTTAAATGTTTTTTAAATGTTTTTAAATGTTTTTAAATGTTTTTAAATGTTTTTAAATGTTTTTAAATGTTTTTAAATGTTTTTTAAATGTTTCTAAATGTTTCTAAATGTTTTTAAATGTTTTTAAATGTTTTTAAATGTTTTTAAATGTTTTTAAATGTTTTTAAATGTTTTTAAATGTTTTTAAATGTTTTTAAATGTTTTTAAATGTTTTTAAATGTTTTTAAATGTTTTTAAATGTTTTTAAATGTTTTTAAATGTTTTTAAATGTTTTTAAATGTTTTTAAATGTTTTTAAATGTTTTTAAATGTTTTTAAATGTTTTTAAATGTTTTTAAATGTTTTTAAGTTTTTAAATGTTTTTAAATGTTTTTAAATGTTTTTATTGTTTTTATTGTTTTTACAACAGGCAGATTATTCATAAACATGTCGTTACTCTTGATCTAAGTAAACAATTCGTGCATTTTCTTACCATAAATAAAAAAATAAAAAATTTTAAATTAGTCTTAGAAATATGAAGGAAAAAACTTAAAGTGGCCATAGCATAAGCTTAAAATCCAATTTACGAAAAATTTTCATACAAAAATTACATCTATCTTTGTTATCATTTAACGTAGCAGCATCGACAAAAGAACATAAGCGTATATCTTCTTTATTATTGATCCGATTCGATTGTAGTTCAACTGTAATTCAACTTTATGTCATGTTATGAAAAACTGGAAATACTGTGGCATATTTAAGCTTTGTTATGGTCACCTAACAATTCACGAATTGCAATGTTGTAAAAATTTGTTTCTACAAAAATTTCCTATTTTTCTTGTACTACTATTTTTAATTTGTTAATTGTCAATTTGACTGCAGAAATCCGACTAATACTTACCAGTATCTACGATGTCACTGTTCTTCAAAAACTCATAGAGAGAAACGATGTCTCGATCAACCAAATCCAATCCGATCTTCTCAACGAAATCTGACAGCTTGTACCAATTGGGTTTGTACTTGTACAATTTAAAGCAAACGAATTGGTAGTTAGCGTCAACATTCCTAACGTGTTTAAGTATTCTGTAGTCCTCTTTATCTAAAAGCGTACTCAAATACTTAGATTGACAAACGTGCACTATCAGCTCGTTGTTAAGATCTAGAAATTTTGGATTGAAGCCTTTCTTCTTCTTTTTATCGGTGAAAGGTGACATAGGTTTTTTCGGAGATTTATTAGGTGATTTATTAGGGGATCCTGATAGTATGTTAGTACTATTTTTAGTTGGTGTAGTCGGTATTTTATTATTAGGTGATTTATTTGGGGATCCTGATAGTATGTTAGTACTATTTTTAGTTGGTGTAGTTGGTATCTTATTATTAGCTTCATTTTTGTCAGATGTTTCAACGTCTCTTGAAGCACTCAAATTAGCAGCTTCTGCAGGTTGATCAGCAGTGGATGAATCTGAATTTTTTTTATTAATTTCCCTTTCTTTGGCTGGTGAAATAACCTTGTTTGATAAAATTGTAACTTTTGATTGAGTTGGAGGTGTATTGGTATTATTTTCTTTAGATTTAGTTGCATTGCACTTGTTTTTATTTTCCTCTGAAAAGAGATATTATTTTACATTGTTTGTTTAGCCAAAAGGTGTTAATGTGGCATATAACTTGGGTTTTAAAATACTCTTACGATAAAATTATAATAAGAAATAAGAGATATAAGCACTTGAATTTGGTAAATAATTTAAATTTCAATAATTCTACTATATATTGTGTAAATTCTAGTTCTAGTAGATAGTTATTTAATATTTTACATCCACTAGTACGTCTTGTAAAAATTTGCTTGTTCTAAATCATATTTTGTAATTTTTTGTGACCAAAACTCCTAAATTTGGCGGAATTTTAAATGTCCACTAGGATAGTCGAACTTAACGATCTAGCAACCCTGCGAACTTTAAAACCTAATTTTCACATACCCGAAATTTTATATACTCTTTCCAAAATCAATCCAACATAGCGTTTGTACCGGAGGCGCGTAATAATTTACGTTATAAGCGCTGAGAATGCTATATCCTCCAAAAAGGGCTATAATAAGCGCGAAAAATATTGTATACTCCCCTTTTAAAACACAGGAGCCGCTAGGCAACGTGGACTTGATTGACGTGTGTCACAAGCCCATCATCTTCTTTGTCTACCAATGAAACATCGCAATCGGGAACTTGGAGGCGTGTTCGAAATAAGTTTTTATAATTTATGGCACTCGGTAAAGACCGGTCTTCGGACTCTTCGGTTATTATGTCGTTATTCAGTAGCGTGCACAGTGTGAAACCTATCTCAAGCGTTTGTTATACCTATAAACTTTTCTTGTTTTTATTTTAAGGTGTTTCTGTTAAATTTTGATTTGTGTTGTACAAGATGGCTTTCTGGAGACCATTTGAGGTAAATGTAGATGCTAATGAATTGCAGGTTAATGATGAGATTCACATTAATAATGAAATTGCAATAAATAATGAAATTCAAAATAATGATGAAGTACAATTAAATGCAGTACAAATTAATGATGAAATACGTATTAATAATGCAATTCAAAATAATGAGAATCAAGGTGAAACACAATCTTGGGAATTCAAAAACCAAGTCTTACATATTCAAGTTCAACAGGTCATTTTAAATAGGTTTGTTTGTCTTAAATCAGAAAATCCAAATATTTCACAAACACATGCAGTTAAAACAATATGTAAGTTAACAAAAATTCCCTGTTCCACAATTTATTTCGTTATTAAACGTGGCGTCGGACAGATGATGCATCTAAAGATGTGATTCGACGAACGGTTTACAACACGTATAAAGAAAACCAAGTCCCAACCCTAGAGATACTTTTTAGAAAATTACAAGATTTTGAAGATTTCAAATATAAATCATTAGAATCACTTCGACAAATTTTAATAACTTGTGGTTTTAGATATAAAAAGTTAGATAGCCGAATGTGCATTATGGAGTCGCGTCGAATTGTGGAATTACGTCAAATTTAATTAAGGGAAATTTTTAAATTTAGAAATAGCAATAGAAATATAGTTTATTTAGATGAAACATGGTTCGACGCTCATGATATCGTTCAACGTGGTTGGGCAGACGGTTCACAAAATTGTGTTTTAAATGCACCATGCTCCAAGGGGAAACGAGTCATAATTTTACATGCCGGAAATGAAAATGGCTTTGTAACAAACGCTTTGCTACTTTCAGCAAAAAAATATCAATAGAGCTCTGCTGGATTATCATGAAGATATGAATGCAGCAGTTTTTGAGAACTGGTTTGCTGAAAAATTTTTACCGAATATTTCACCAAATTCATTCATTGTAATGGACAATGCGTCATATCATTCCCGGCAAATTCATAAGAAGCCAAATAGAGGCTCTAAGAAATCAATTATAATACAATATTTAAAAGATAATAACATTGATATTCCTGCTTCCGTAAAACAAAACCACAATTGTTAGAAATTGTTAAAAGTAAGAATATTTCAATACAGTATTATATTGATAATTTTGCAAAAGATGGTGGTTACCACCTTTTTATTGTATACTTAATCCAATTGAATTAGTTTGGTCTTCAGTTAAACAAAAACTGAGACGTAATAATTTTGCACCTACCTTAACAAATGTGGTTTTGGAAAATATTAATGGCGTTTTTAAAGATCCGTCTTTGACTGACGTTCGGAAAAACAGCGTTAATCCCGTCATTAAAAAGGAAAAAGAATATTATGTTTTACCTTCTATAGCTCCAGTAGTTATAAATCCAAACCTCGATTCCTCGACAGATGGTTCTGATTTAGATTCGGATTAACTTTCTCATTTTACATTATTGGTAATCCGAGACTTGTAAAGAATTTATTTTCCTTTATGGGTTTTGCTATGAAATTTCGTTTTCCAGAAAAAAAAACGAATGGGGTACAAAAAGGGCTCAGTTCACGTCTGGTACCCTGTTTAAACCAAACGCCCTTACAGGCAGGAACATTTTACTTGTCAATTTCCGTTTTATAATTTAATATTCAGTTGTAGCAAATTAACGAACTATATTAATATTTTTTTTTTAAGTTTCAAGTAGAACTATAATTAAGTGCATCTGTCTAAATAACGGCATTTAATGCCTTCCAATTATTGATAATGGAAGAATTATACCCAATTAATAATTTAATTTATTTAATTTTAATAATAAAAAACGATACGACAATGTGCGCGGTCCCTTTGAAGTCGGCGCTAGTCGGTTATAATGCTGTGTTGGATTGTGTCTAGAAAGACCTTGTCTTACTATTTTTTTACTTCTGATAATTATTGTTTTGTATAATTATTTTAAAATCATTTATTTTTATACGTATTACAGAATAAAGCTGACTAAACCTATACCAAAGAGTATAGTTAACACAAGAGATTCCACTAAAATGTCAATCGAACTGAAAGTCTATGACCTTGAAAATTTAAAATATTTTACGCGGGTAAATGTATATAATCTAACCTAGCTTTCTGATAATTTCTCTTTTTGATACAAACATTAATTTATTTATAATCAAATTTTGTTATAGATCTGTATTTTTTAATACAAATTGCAACATAAAGGTCTCTGCAGTGAAAAACTTCAAAAATACTAATCAATGTTTTAGTTGTCATTTTTCTCATGTGACAGCAACCAACATTCTCATTGGTGACTCCAAACTTGTCAAAAACACTACAGACCAATAGGGAGGAGGCATCGATGTCAATATTATTTTAAAAACCAAAATAACATAAATTTTGTAATACCCATATTAATTTTGTCTTCAAGTGGCTTAAAAACTGAATATTTTTTACTTTTAGATGTCATTTTTCTCATGTGGCAGCAAACAACGTGCTGATTGGTGACCCCAGACTTGTCAAAAATACCCCAGACCAATCGGGAAGAAGTACCGAGGTCATTGAGATTTGAGCCAGAATTTAACATGGGAAATATAGGGAGTGACAGGCCTGTGCCTATACCCTTAGTAAGAAAAAAATACATTCATTTAGAAACTAAATTAACACGAGGATTACAAATATGTTAAAGTAAAAATAAGTACACAAAATTTAGATCCTGAATGAATGTTGGCTGGTAGGTACAAAAAGTTAATTATATCACACATTAAAAAACATTTAGATTATCTAAGATTATCGAAGATGACGCCGACTGAACCGCACGCGCAAAATACTGATGAGTGTAATTATTGTAAAAAATCAGTAACTGCTAGTATAAAATGTGAAATCTGTGACTTGAAATATCATCCATCGTGTGTACAAAGAGTAAATGCTATCATAAGATGCTGTAAACCAAAAGTTATTGAAAAATCTAAGACTATGGATCAAGAAAAAAGTTAAGGTGATTTTTAAAATTACTAGTAGAAGAACAAAAACGAGCAAACCAATTAATGAGTGAAAAAATAGAAATCTTAAAAGTTGAACTTAAAAATGAAAAAACGAAATATTCTGATCTGCAAACACAACATAACGAAATAAATCCTAAATGTATAAGTGTTGACAATAAAAATCAAAACTTATCTATCGGTGATAATAAAAAACCAGTTTTTATAGAAAAACCAAAACAAACAAAAACACAAGCGATTATAGGAATGCCCCTGTACAGGATGACTCATTCCTCCAAAGGAAACAAGTTGCATTAGAACTAATAAAAATTCAAAGCCTACAAAAAAACTAATGAAATAATAAATCTAGCAGATGATACCAATGAGGGGAGTCATGAGAATGATTATCACAGTAACAAGACGGCAAAGGAGAAAAACAAAACAATTAGGTAAGGGAAGTGGAGAAGGTGATGATTAATTTAAAGGAAGGGAAAAATCAAACAAAAAAATTTTGCTCTTTGTATCTAGAGTATCAGACAATGTTAAGAAATACATTCATAAACGCACAAACGCAGAAGACATTTATGTGAAGAAATTAGGCACATATTTTGTAAGACAGAATAATCAAGCTTTTCTAGTGGGAATAGATCCTCATTTTCAGGAGCAAGTATATAAATCAGATTTTTGGCCGAAAAATATAATTTATTCCCGATTCAACTTTAAACAAGGTCAGCGATTTTTTGAAGATTCACAAAACCAGAGATCGCATAAGAGTAAAGAAATTTTTTCAAATTCTTCAAACCTAGCCTCTACTTCAAACCTGATAAAATAGGGACCTCAACGACTACTATGGAAAACCACTTTTTGAAAGAAAATAATGAATTACTATTTTGCAGTTCCCAACAGTTAAATATTACTTTAATGCATATCAATATACAGGGAGGTTTTGCCAATAAATGCTTTGATCTAAATTTAATTTTACAGAAAAAATGTAAGTATTCTATGTGTTACTGAACATTGGCTTGATTCTAACAATTTACAAGCTACCTCAATGAAAATAAGTATTGCTGCAAATTTCGAATCAATTAATTTACATAGGTGGTGTATAGAAGGTGAATTTGAAGTATGTGGTGGAAAAATAAAGATTGATTCTAAACTTTTTTTATTTATTATTACTGTGTATAAGCCACCTTGTACTAAGTTTAGCACTTTTATAAATCAGCTAGAGCTATTAATTCATAATATTATCAAAACGACAATCACTATTTTATCTGTGGTGATATTAATGTAGATTTTTTTGATTGAAGGTAATCAAAAAACTGTTTTAATTGACTTATTGAAGGAATTTAATATTAAACATCATATAAATGTTGCAATGAGAACAACAAGTACAACCTCAACTTGTTTAGATAAATTTTTTTTGCCAATTTTGATGTAGATAAGGTGGGTGTATATGATACTTTTTTGTGTGATCATAACTACTTATGTTCAATTTTTTTTTTTTTTTTTTTTTTTTTCTTTAGTGTACGGCTTCAACATCTAAGGTCATTAGCCTAGTGTTCTATGTAGGTTATGGATTGTACTAGTAGTCTAATACTCCATAGTGTAGAAGTATTAGTACTCTAATACTCCTACACCCCTACAGACAGGCCTTGTTACTGTTTCCTTGCGCCACTTTAGGAACAGCACTGTTAATTAGAACCCAACAGTGAATGGTCGAGTGGGGAATCCTACCAAGGCATCAGAATTAATTTTAAATAATTAAATTAAATAAAAAAATTCCGGCCAACGGTGGGATTCGATCCTGAGACCTTCCGATCTCAAAGTCATGACTCTAACCACTGAGCCAACCCACCCCCCTATTATGTTCAATTAAACTACCTAATTTTGAAAATAACGAATTTAAATACAGATATAAATGAGATTTAAGTGATCCTAAGGCAATAACTTGTATAATATTTTATCAGTTGAAAATTGGCGTGAAGTATAAACATCTACTAATTTTAATGATAAATTTTCTATCTTTTATGAATCATTCCTATACCACTACAATATTGTATTTACGAAAACAAAGAAAGCAATAAAACCACAAAAATGAAAAAATCAGTTTCCACCTCATATTAAAGAGTTACATAATCTATTATGTGAAATGAACAGGTTAAAGAAAGAAATAAATTCTACATATTATACAGAACATTACAATAATTTAAAAAGAGTATCAAAAAATAACAAAACAATATTTGAGAAGAAAAAATAATGATCATATTTTAAAAAGTAATAACTTGATGAAAGAATCCTGGAATGTGATAAACGAGAGTAGGGGAAAAAGAAAAAACTTATTGAATCCTATTAAATTTAAAAATGATGACAACACCCTCAGGAAAAGTAAATTATATCAATGACTATTTTATTAATGTAAATAAAAAAAATATTGTACCTAACTATACTATGAGTATTGATAAACATCATAACAGTTTTTTTCTTTTTCCAACAACTACTAGTGAAATCATCACTATAATCAAAAAAACTACTTCTAAACCCACTGAAGGTATTGACGAAATAAATGGTAAAAGTATGTTATTGGTTGCTCATTGTATTGCTGAACCCATATCACATTTGATTAATGAATCCTTTGTTTCGGGATTATTCCCAAATATGAAGGAATCTAAAGGAATTCCTGTTTATAAAAATAAGGGATCTGCATCTAATATAGAAAATGATTATTTAATCTGTATATCTAGTCAAATAATTAAAATATTTGAGCCATCATACTTTATTAGACTCACTAATTACCTTGAAAGTTTTAGTATGTTGCCAGAGACTCAAAATGGATTTAGAAAAAATAAGTCAACATCTACTGCAATTGCAGCTTGCCTAGTTTATATATCAAGCACTCAATGATAAAAAACATATTTTAGGACTCTTCTATGACCTTAGCCGTGCATTTAATATGGTGGATCATAATCTTTTATTATTGAAGATGAATGGGTTAGGAATACGAGGGAAACCTTATGAATGGATACAGTCTTACTTAATAAATCGAACTCAAGTAATTGTAACAAATAGTCTAAAATCTGATCCTCTTCCATGTACAATAGGAGTTCCCCAAGGTTCAATTTTGGGCCCACTTCTTTTTATAGTTTTTATAAGTGATATAAGTAATTTTTGTTTAAGCTCACAACAAATAGTTCAATATGCTGATGATACCAATATTGTAATGGCAGATGATCAAATTGAACAGGTCAGTCAAAGTAGCAACGAGGCATCTCGTGAGTTTAACCAGTATTGTAAAAATAACGGTCTGGCATTAAATGTAACAAAAACAAACTTCATGCAATTTCTACCCAAAAACATATTACCAGATTATGAACCCTACTTGCACGTTGACGGAAAAACTATTCAAAGCATTGATGACATAAAATTTTTAGGAATAATATTAGATCCCAAATTAAATTGGGAAGCTCATATAAAAATGGCAACTTCAAAATTAAGTACTTGTTGTTATATCATCAAAAATTTAAGGGAGACACTATCTTTTGATACTTTAAAACTATGCTATTTTAGCTTGGTTCATTCAACTCTACAATATTTTGGGGTTCTTCACCATACTTTGAAAGAGCTTTTGTATCTCAAAAGAAGGTTCTGAGAGCCATGTATAAGGTGACACCAACATCATGTAAAGAACTTTTCAAGAAAACACAAATTTTAACACTACCTTCCCTTTTTATTTTTCAACTAATTTTATACATAAAAGATAATGAGCATATATTTAAGAAAAATAAAGACCTGCACTCATATGACACTAGATTAAAATTTAACATCCATCAACCTTTTTCATGACTACAAATAAGCCAGCATTCACCAAAATATATTGGGATTAAGTGTTACAATAAGTTCAGTAACATAGAAAATACTACAGGTTATCATCAAATTAGTCATAATGATTTAAGAAAACCTCTTAATGATTTTCTTGTAAATAATGTATTTTATAGTATAGATTTTTTTAACTTTTAAACTAATCTTAACATGAATTGTCTATTATATATATTTTATTTTTTAATGTATTTTACTTGACACTTTTGACTAGTCTGATAGGATTTTACATTATGTACCTAGTGTCTTTGTATAGTGTATAATTCTCAAAGATGAATAAATTCTATTTCTATAACTAGACAAATAAGAGTTTATTTACAAGGGTCAGAAGAAAACTATGATTAGGGTTAATCTATTCCTTAATATTATTGTTAAGAACTCTGGTATTAAATAAACTAGTACTTAGTAGTTTTAGATGGAACATTTTTTCAGTTTGTTGTTTGTGAATGGCACTATACATAACCTCAACATTAAATGACTATAATAAGAGCTTTTGCACTTTAAACATCGCTATGTTATTAAACAAACAAATAATGCATTCTTTACAGTCTATGAGGCAAGTTAATGATTATTGAATAGGTAATTAATGGGTAAGTACCACAGGTGTATTAATATGTTGTTTTGGAAACATTTAAATTACGAAATAATTCAATATCTTACTTTCATAGACTGGAAATGGAAAAGGAAGTACCCTCTTCTCATATTTTCCATACAAATTCATCACATTTTCCGACATTTTTACAGGACTTTCAGATTTTTTTATTTGAACTTGTTCAGACTTGGCTTTTCCTAAATTTGCTAAACAAGTCTCAATATTCACTTGTTTTAAACCAGGTTCTGGTATTGAACTAGGTTTTCTACGCCCCATTTGTAACTATATGCATTTTCACTATCTAGAGTTGTCGTTATCACTTATCTTTGTGCCATTTCTAAGTATTACGAGTGCGAAATAACATATCCTATACCGCGTCTAGAATCAAATCAACAAACTGCAATGCAATAAACAAATAATGCAGAATACAATTCGACCTTCAAAAATTTATCAAATTAAATCGCGTGTTACAGTAAAAACCGGTTAATTTTCCAAAAACATTTTATACGCAAACGAAAACTATTAAAATATATATTTTTTTGTATTTTCCTATTTTCTCATTATCCGCGGGAGTGTTTATTTATTTTTATTTTTAAGGTTAACTTAACCTAACACTGTTGACAGATGACACAGATGATCACTTACTTTACAAGGCGAGTTCGGTTAGTCAGGGGCTGGAGCGGGACAAAAGCGGAGTTTTTAGGGTGCTTTTAAATGACATTTAAGCGTGTTAAACTGTCACTAATCGGACTAAACCAATGACCTGGAGTGGAGTAGAAAGCCAATGTGCATATTAGGTTCTTTCGTTCGCTATTGGTGAAGTGTACACCAGTGTAAATTACACCAGTTACACCACTTTATTTACCTTAGTTTACTTAGGGTCGATTCCACCGTTGTGTTAAACGAAGTTTAAATTATTAAACGAATAATAAAATGACCTTGGCAACGTAAAAATGTCATTTTAATCTTCGTTTAACACAACGGTGGAATCGGCTCTTAGGTAACGTTAGCGGATGGTTAGCGGCTGTTTGCTAAAACTCTCTAATGTGCACCGGAACTCGGAACCATCTGCAACTTTAGAAACGTAACGGTTGTAACCGAACTATTCAAGGCCAACTCGGCTGGGTTCTGATTATAAATACGGACCTTGATCCCAGTATAAAGACCAATAATTGTTCTTTATACTGGGCCTTGATATTTAAAAACTAGTTTACTTGTCTGTCATTCAGAAGCATAAAAACAAAGTTAAGTAACCAAAGACCCATTTTAGCCAAGACAAATATTTAGAAAAAAATAAGAAATTCATTGATACCAACAAAATTATAAAACGTCAAAAAACCCTAAATCTTAAATGAAGAGGTTATGGAGGTATTAATAATTGAAAAAGAAGTAGATCGTTTTTAATTATGAATGATTAATCGAAATTAGCAACGTACACATTTAAAAATGTAATCAGATTAGATATTGGCTCGTTATTTGTTTCGGTAATGTGTTATAAAAGATACTTATCTTTGAGTAGACGTAAAATCTCATTTTTCGTCGCTCCGCTACTAATAACATCAATTATATTTATAATATACCAGATTTCCATATTTGTACAAATATCTGATGGGTATAAAAAAGCGAATTTCGGTTTAAAATTAGTCAGAGGCACTCACGAACAACAGGCGAGATTTTATGAACCGAATAGCCAAAATAAATTCGTGTGTATCAGAAGTTTAGAAGAAATTGATTTTAAAATGGTCAACGACGATTATTGTGATTGTTTGGATGGGTCCGATGAACCTGGTACAAGCGCTTGTGGCAACGGTATGTTTTTTTGTAGAAATCAGGAACATTTTCCTAAATCCCTACATTCTTCTATGGTAAACGATGGCATTTGCGACTGTTGTGATGGATCTGATGAATGGAAAAATGAAGTGCTTCTACACAATTTTGATATTGTGCTTCAGAAACGAATGCACAAATACCACCCACCTTGTCCAAATGTTTGTTAAAATGTGCCTTATTTTGTTAATTAACCTAGTTTTATAGCTATTAATTTATGTTCACCATAGTAGTAAGTGATAAATTTTAAAAATAAAAGTTTAATATATAACAATTTAATTCATCTTACCAATTACAGAAAAAGAAAGTTTATTTTTCTATATACATCAACATTTTTTGAAATACACCCCTTTGGCATTTTGTACAGGGTGACTGATGGGGACTTGGCCATTTTTAAATGAACTGTACATTAGTTAGTGTTATATGGAAAATTTAATTTTAATACACAAAATTGTTTATCATTACATGCATTTGAAATTTAATAATAGTAACAATTTTCAAGCATTTTTACAAACAAAAATGCGAAAAACAAAGTACAAAGAATTAAAAAAATGTAAATAAATAGAGAACTTGATAAATGAATAATCTCTTGTTTCAAGCATTAGACTAAATACTAAACAATTGCACTAGAACTACATATTGTAAAGAAAATAGAAATCTATATATAGGGTGAGTCGAGAGGAACCCTACAGAGACTTCTACTATATGTAGAGTACCTAGGGGGTAAAATGAGCATTAAAAAGTGGCAACTCCTATGCGTTATTAATATATGGGGTGTTTTGTGAATTTTTAAAAACATTTATATGGCCGTAAAATCTACAAGGATTAGATTTATCTAATTTTTGGGCGAAACTGTCCACTGATGTCTAGCATTTAATTTATATCCTCAAAAGTTAAAAATTCCAGGATAGGCTTAGGAAATTAGAAAATTAATCTCGATGATTCATATCAAAAAGTTTGACCTGTATAAGTTTTAAATTATAATAAGATTTATAAAGTCAAAACTGCGTATATTTGTTGGAAGATATTCTATTTTAGTAAAAGTACAAAAACCATAATCACCTTAAATTTTCCCAAGTCAAATGTAACCATTTTCTCAGTATATAATAATTTTAACACCATTTTAAGAGTTATGTATTTTAAATTCGATATACATGGCATTAAATTTGAGAATTGTTGAATTTAGTTTATTTTTTCTTTAAACTGAAAAGCTAGATTGTCTTTACCTATATAGAATATATAAATTAAATTTAAGTTTTGGGTAGATGTCCAATACAAAGGACAGTTTAAAACAGTTGCAACTCTTGACCAAAATATTGGTGGTTTACAATGACAGAATATAGATATCAGTTATAGATGTAGGTAAAAAACTTTTAGTGTTTTAGAAAGGTATAGGTATACATAGAAAGGTATATAATACTGAAGACTCTGAAAATGTTTACCTACATCTGTACTAATACATATCTATATTTTGTCATTGTGAACCCCTGATATTTTGGACACAAAATAATTGTTACAGTGTGCTTCACAAATAAATCACACTAATAATATATTTTTGCAAACACTGAATAACTACAGTTGGGCCACTAAGAAATAATTTCATTAATTTCTTTTTATACAGGGTGAGCCATCCAGCAAACCGTCAAAAAATAATTATGTTTTGATTTTGAAATTATTAAAACTTTCATTTCTTTAGTGACTTGAGTAAGTTAATATCATTATATTAGGTAGATATGTAACCATAACATTTTAAAATATACAGAGTAATTTAACTGTTTCTATTAGAATACCCTGTATAGGAAATGTATTGTATAATATTTTGTTGCCAAAATACCATATTGTGTAGTATTTTTTAAAAATATTCTTCCCTGACGTCACAGTAAAATTAGTGAGATTTTGGCAAACTACCGTCATACATTTGTGAATCACCCTGTAACTAAAAATATTTTTAATTATATGTATGTACTATTGTATTACTAAAACATGTAGCAAACGTGTGTTTATACAACAGAAATTCAATCTAGCTCGTAAGTTTGAAAATAAAAATTTCGAAAAACTAGGGTCCCTATTTATAAACAGACCTCAGCTGAGTCGGACTTGTAAGTCGTCCTTGAACAAAAATCGAAGTTCGGTTATATCCACTGAACTATATATTAAACTGGAATAACAAAGTCGATCAACAAAATCAAGCCGCAGCGAGGTGATATTTGACATTGTGGCGCCCAAACGTGCGTATCGAAATGCACTAGAAAGGAACATCAAAATTAAATATATTAACACTTATTACTTTCAACTACGACACCTTTTAATTTAAGAAAACCACTTAAAAATGATTTTTGTCCACGACCACTTAAAAATAAATCAATATTCTACCTCCTAACTAAAAGTATATGGTACCCATATATCACTAGAGTGAATTATGATAATTCACGCTTTTGTAATTCTGGCAATTTCCGGTAGATAACTAAAAATGGGCGATACTTTTCAAAACCATAATTTCTAGTTCGAAAAATTGGAAAATCGGAAAATTGAAAAATCAAAAAAACGAAAAATCGAAAAAGAAATTCCGTAATGAAAATAAACCTAAACACCCCCCACTCCGACCGGTACAGCGGTGCTGCGTTGAAAGCCGTGCATCGTCTAACGTCGTTTCAGTTCGGCAGACTTCGGCACGGTGTTTGTGTGCGTGCGACTAGACGTATGCGTGTAGACTAGCTGCTAACAGCTCATAACTGATTCTCCTTTAGACACAATTTCGGAAAAATTTAATTTAAAAATGAATAATGATCCACAAGAATCCATAACAAAATATGGGACCATCATTGATGCGGTATTTTCCAGATATTTAGAGGATATTAAGTCTCAAACTTAAGATAATAAAAATGTTTTAAACAATATTTAACTTCTCATTTATTCAATAAAACAAAAAAAATTTGTTTTCTTATCGGTCACCATGCTCAAAAGGTGTAACTTGAATTAATATCAAAGAAAAAACTTGAATTAATATCAAAGAAAAAAAATACTGCATAAATAAAATAAATAAATAATTATAATAATAATAATAATACTACTCTCCCTAATTCACCCCCTTACGAGTGAATTTCAACCCCTGAAGTCGACTGAACGACTTGTGTAGGGGAAGGGACGGCTATTATTATTATTTGCCGTGGCGCTCCGGGGCGACTTAAAGATGATTAATGGTGCCATTTGACTTACAGGTGAGGAAAACCCGGAGAACCTCACCCACCATCATCGAGACGGTAATGTATGGCGAATTTTTTTAATCTGCATGTCATATCAACAGAAATTGAATTTCTATTAATACGCCACACATCAAATCCTAAACCGAACCATGTAATTTAATTAAAAATCCACATGGTCTGGTCTGGGATTCGAAACCCAGCAGTCTCAGACTCATAAACTTGCCTATAAATGAATATAAGCGCGATTGACCGCTACACCACCGTCCCAATAATATAATAAGTTGATAAAAAATGCTATGCAATAGCTTTACTGCGGCAGTTCCCGAGTGCCACACGTATTTTTTTACTAATAAAAATATTACAGTGAAATATTTCCGAAATGTATTTGTGCTATATGGGTAAATACGACATGTGCGAACCATCTTTTAATTTTTTTTTAAATAAACATTATTCATACGGGAATATAAACCTGATCTTATATTTGGTGTTTTTGCCTTTAAGCAATTAGAACGTTTTCAGAATATGAGGTATACTCTGTGTCCCAGATTGGTGCTGCATGTATTGCTATTTCTGTTATTACAAGAGCTACAAAATCAGGTAAATGGGCAATATTTCTCAGGATTCTATTACCATTTCAGAACTGCTATTACATTTTGTCAGTTATTTTTGGTTTTTGAATAAATCGCGAAAAACCAAAATGGTGGGTTTTTGACAGTCCTCCGTATCTCGAATATTTGAGAACATACGCTACTTTGGTCTAGACATTCTATGGGCACTTTTTTAAGGTCTTTACAGTAAAAAACAAAACAAAAGAATTTCTCCTTCCGTTTTCGAGATATTGACTATAACTTTGTTTTTTCTTATGGACGCCATATTGGATTTTTATTGTATTAAATAGAATTGTCAATTCCCTTTTCCAAAATGTATCACAACATGGTACTTTCTTTCAAATGAATGCTGAAATAAATAAATCTAAAAATTTCCTAATTAATTTTGCTCCTCTGTCCAATTTGGTCTAGTAGGCGAGCCAAAAATATGTTTTATAACTGTAAAATTATAGTTGGTTTAACATTAGATTTTATTCGTTCATTTTAAATTCGTTAATTATTTTTTTTTTGTTAAATTTAATTTCCGTTAAGTTGTTATTTTTTTCAATATATCAATAAAGCGGGGTTTTCCTAGCAACGCACATTTTACGCAGCGTAGAACGTAATTCGGTCGGCGTAAAACGCTTAGGACATGTCTAATGAAAATCAAATGGAGTCGTTTTCCTACAGGGCGCAAAAACGACTTGCGTCGCGTAATACGGGCGACGCAACGGGACGACTGCTCGGAGAGCAGTCTATTCAGTCGTACGCTGCGTTTTAACAGGAATGTGCTCCTAATTTGCAACAAAATGACTTCACAAAAACAACAAATTCGTTTTAGTGCTACTGAGGACGAACAATTAATTGAAGTCGTTAGTGGTTATCCTATTCTTTGGGATATGAAACTGAAGGAATTTAAAAATGTAGTGAAAAAGGACACAATCTGGAATGAAATGGACAAAATGTGATTATAATGTCAATTTCTTCTTGCAAAATTTCATCTTGCAGTATTAAAAATGCCAAAGCTAATTTCTTTTTACAATTATTTAACCCACTCATCGCGATGATCAGGACGCAACTGACAATCCTAGGAAAACACTTTTACGCAACGCGTTGGATGTTGCGTTGCGTCGGCCGTATTACATTCTACGCTGCGTAAAATGTGCGTTGCTAGGAAAATGCCGCTTAAAGAAAAAATAGACATGTTAGAAACTTACTTCGTAGCCCACAGAAATTCTACAGCGGCTGCAGAAATTTATCAAAATAAATTTTCTGAATGGCATCAACCAAACGCAAGACATTTTAGGGATCTGGTAATAAATTTGCTAAATTATGGAAGTTTTGAAAAACCCAGAAATCATAAATATGCTATTTAAAATAAGGAGAGAATTGATGCTGTATTACAATCTTAGATTATACAAACCTTAAGCCTTGGTTTCTTTGAACACTACGTCGCGGTGAGCGGACAGTCCGTCAATCGTCGCGTTTTGACGATTTTATCCAACCAGAGTATTTAAATGGGAATGGTTTTCTTGAATCCGCTTAGCTGAGCAGGACGGCGTCATGCCGCTGATTTGTCGCGAAGAGTCGGTTGATATCTGTTGAGTTTGATATCAGCGGAATCGTCGGCGTGTGCGGAGACTATATTGTTATTAATTTTAAAACAATAAGTGACAAATTCACACATACAGATGACATCATGACTTTATTTTTAGGTTTCTTGGAAATTATGTCCTTTATGAAACTCAACACGAATACAAAAAGATCTGTAGAAAATCTAAAATACTCCCTAAATTTGGTTTCATTTCCAAAAAGCCTCCGCTGAACAGTGATATTAAAGGCACCTTCTGTATCGCGACAAAAAAACAACTCATCCACTGGCTTATTGGAAACTTTGACGGTTGCAATTGCCAGTTCATCTTGTTCTTCCTCTTCCAACAATAATAACAACGCAAACAATTTATTTGTATCCATTTTAGTATCTTTCTTTTACATTCATAATACATAAACAGCACGTACAGACATAGAGAAAGTATCATTTTCTATATTTTTTAACAAACCACCTCGGGCGAAAATTGCTGTTCTCAGCGGTCGACGGACTGTCCGCTCACCGCGACGGAGTGTTCAAAGAAACCAAGGCTTTCGATGGAACATAAGACACTGCGCATAATCCCATTTCGAAATTATTCACACCCACCAATCACAGTTGAGAAAATCACATGTCAGAGCGTTGTCCATCCAAATTTAATGTGTCAACGAGAATTAATTTCGTATTTTAATGACTTAAATTTT